GGTCAGATCTGTGCAAGGTATACTTTCTATTCTTCATAAGTTCTTCCTGATCTTGGGTCTTTCGATAAACAAGAATAAATGCAGCCTAATAATTTGGGGTTTAACTGGTCTGGAAATGGAGGAAATACAAAGACAAAGTGGAATTCAATTGGGCCAGTTACCTTTAAGGTATCTTGGAGTGCCACTAACTTCCAAGAAATTAAGTCTATCAGATTGTCTTCCGCTTTTGGAGAAAATCAGAAATAGATTTAACTCTTGGACAGTTAAAAGCCTATCTGTCGCAGGAAGACTACGATTACTTGAGTCAGTAATCTCAGGCATTACGACATCCTGGCTAGCGGTTTTTGTCCTACCCAAAAGTTGTATTAAAAAAATTGACTCCATGAATTCGACATTTCTGTGGAAAGGGGAAGTAGATTCACGTAGCGGAGCAAGAGTATCATGGGACAAAGTCTCTATTAGAAAATCAGCAGGTGGCTTGGGACTCAGGAACATCAAGGACTGGAATGACATTGGAATCCTAAAACTCATCTGGGCCATGTTCTTCAGAAGCGGGTCATTATGGGGTGCATGGATCAAGAGAAAATATTTAGGCAGGGAAAGCTTCTAGATGATCAGACCTAGCGCTAGACATTCATGGAGCTTTAGGAAGATTCTAAAAGGCAGAAATTTAACACAAGACTTTATTTCTACCTCTTTGGGGAATGGTCGGCGCACCTGGTTCTTGTTGGTTATATGACTCAAGAGCAGTTTTTGATCAGTTATTTGGAAGTTTTTAATGATGCAGTTAAAGTTAGAAGTTTCTATCGGTTACTAGAATTGTGACTATAAATATATGTAGTTATGGGTTGAAGACATTATTGCAGAATAGTTTTTTTTTTCTGTAATCCTCTTACGAGAGTAAAAGTGTGTTTGTTGTGTGAGTGTTTGGTTTATAAAAGTTATCATGGTATCAGAGCGTATATGATCTTTTTGGGATTTGTGGGAGTATGGGTAGGAAAAAACGATTTGATTTGGGTTTTTGTTTTTGGGTTTGTAAGAAAAAGAAGAGATTGTTTTCTCGTTTGTTTAGAGTAGAGAGTGCGAAGAAGGGTCACTTTCTAAGAGAAACATCGAGGAGCAACGTCGAAGAATGATGCGTTACGGTGGAGTTTGTGAAACTAACAAGATACGATCTTGTATGGTTCAGTAAGACGATGAAGAAACTGCGACTTCGGTGGTTTCGGAAATCGCAGAATATTGCAAGGAAAAAAAAAGATGAAGCTTCCGAGGAAGAGCAATCTAAAGAAGAAGAAACTCGAACCAGAATTTGGTCGGTAAGATGTTTTGGGAAGGGTTGTATTTTCAATACAATCTAATGTGTTTGTTTTTGAAGAAAAAAAAAGAACGAAGATTAACTGGAGGAAAGTCGTGACAACGAAGACGACGATTCTGATGGAGTTGAAGATGATTGTAAGTTTTGTCGGGTTTATGCCTCAATAAGGTAAACCTGGAAGTTGCGAACTCGAGAAAGGGCAGTGTTGCACTCGAGAAACATGTTGGAGAACCCGAGATGGGGCAGTTTTGCACTCGGAAGAAAAAAATGGATTGTTGCTGCGAAGAAGATGAAGAAGAAGAATTTAGGAGTTGTTTTTGGAAAAGCTCTCGAGTCAAGGAGGAATGTTGGTTATATGACTCAATAGCAGTTTTTGATCAGTTATTTGGAAGTTTTTAATGATGCAGTTAAAGTTAGAAGTTTCTATCGGTTACTAGAATTGTGACTATAAATATATGTAGTTATGGGTTGAAGACATTATTGCAGAATAGTTTTTTTTTTCTGTAATCCTCTTACGAGAGTAAAAGTGTGTTTGTTGTGTGAGTGTTTGGTTTATAAAAGTTATCAGTTCTGACATGACGTCTGGTCTCCGTTCGGGAGGTTGATTGACTACTTCGGACCCCATGGACCTCAACAACCTGGCATCCCGAAGGCTGCGAAGGTGACAGACATATATAGAAATGGCACGTGGGTTTTCCCAGCAGCTAGATCTTAGGAGGCTATCAATTTATCTTCTTACTTGACAGGAAAAATATTGCAGGACCGAGAGGATTCAGTCACATGGTGAGTCAGAAAATCATCTAGCCAAGATTTTATTGCAAAATCTGTCTGGAACTACCTCTACAAGAATATCGAAAAGGTAACATGGGAGAACATAGTATGGTGCAAGCTAAACACTCCTAAACATGCCTTCATAACTTGGCTATTCATTCATAACCGCTCTCCCATGAAAGATCGGATGAAGACGTGAAGAATACAGATAAACACCGATTGTGTCTTCTGTGGAACTGAAGAGGAGAGTAGAAATCACTTGTTCTTTCTTTGTCCAGCGTTAAAAGATCTGATAATTTTTTCGTTGCATAAATGGGAGGCCCTTTCCACATGTACTATCGTGGGATTCTGTTCTTTCATGGTTAGGAACGCGATGGGACAACAACTCGTATAATTGGGCCGCTTGCATGGCCTGGCAGATCTACATATACACTATATGGCTAGAGAGAAACTCGAGAATCCACTCATCGTGTTATAAGGACATGGCAGCCTTCAGAGCAAGAATGGCTGCCATCAGATCCAATCACTTTGAGACAGCTTCGTTAATACTCCGGCGTTGGTTTGCACTCTCCCCTACAGGCTAGTATTCTACTGCATTTGAATGAAAAGTCTCAGCTTGGAACTTTATATTGTTCTTTTAACCTTCCATGTTACACGAATTGCCGATTATGCGTCTGACTTTTGTAAACTCATTTTCGTATAAATCTAATATACAAAAACCATTGACAAAAAAAAATTATTTGTCATCCGGAAAAATTTGTTTTCATACGAAAGAATTGTTTTTTATACGAAAAGCAATTTTTTTATCCGGGAGAATTGTTTCTCATCCGGAAGAATTGTTTTTTCATCCGGAGAAAACTGTTTTTGTCCGGACAAACTGTTTTTTTTTCAGAAAGAAAAATCTTTCCCATATGAAAAAAATTCTCCCGGACGAAAATATACTTTTTTCGGATAAAAAATATTCTTTCCCAGATGAAACAATTCTCTCAAAAATATTATTTTCCCGAACGAAAATAGATTTTTTGGATAAAAAAGTCTTTTCTTGAGGAAAAAATAATTCTGTCAGACGAGAAATAGTTCATCTTGATAAAAAAAATTATTTTTTCGTGTGCAAAAACAGTTATTCCGAATGAAAACAGATTCTTCCGGATGAAAAATAATTATCCCGGATAAAAAAAATAGTTTTACCAGATAACACAGTTTCCCAAAAAAATATGTTTTTATGCTGCAAAATTTTTGAAATATTTAATGGTAATATTGAAATTATACAATAAAGTAGAGGTATTTTTGTCAAAAATTTATGAAAAGCTATAAATTTCTAATGACGTAACATATTTAGATACTCGTTCTAATTTTTCCTTGTATTTTTTTTTATATATGAGTATATGAGTATTGAAATAAGGGAAAATCCAAAAAAAAACACTGAATTTTCAAATTTTGACAAAAAAAACACACTGAATTTTTTATTTTATCAATAAACATTAAACTTTTTAAATTTGACAAAATAAATACTTAACTCTTCTACGATTTTCAAAATAAACAAAATGAATGATGTGGCACAATGATATGCAAAAAAGTTCAGTGTTTTTTTTATAATCGCAGAAAAGTTCATGTATTTTTTGGATCATTTAAAAAGTTTAGTGTTTTTAAGATACGTTTAAAAATTTTAATGTTTATTTGACAAAAAATAAAATTCAGTGTTTTTTGTCAAAATTGTAAAATTTCAGTGTTTTTTAGGATTTTTTCTTTAAATAATAGGTTGTTTAGTTTTGAGACGTTGTACACTATCAATTTGATTTTTTTATAAAATATTTAATGCTTTGAATATTATATAGTGTATAATTTACATACAAATCAATTATATAATAAGTGATATATGTTTTCTAAAAATAAAATAAAAATATGGTTTATTTTATTTAAAATGAAATGTTGATAGATTTTTATAATAAATTTTAAATAAAACTTTTTGTATATATAATATTATTGACGAATTTTTTCTATGTAACATAGAAGGTTTTTTTAGTAAATTAGATATTAAAATTTTTTAAAAATTTTATATATTTTTATAAAAAATTTAGAGTGGTAGAATGATTCTTTTAGTAATGTAGATAGTTAAGTTTTTTTAATCAAAAGTAATAGTTTTCAATATAAGTTATATAGTTGATGGGTTTTTTTTTTTAAATCAAAATTAATAATCAATATATTTTTATAATAAATTTAAAATATAAGGTTTTTGTGTAAATAAAATTGTTGATATTTTTTTGGCTTATCCCAATTTTAATTCAATTCATTGAATTTACAAGTCAAACAAACTGACCTATAAATTCAGAATAATACCATACGAAAAATATTTTTATCGTTATAATTATTTTTTTTTTGGGTAAAGATCGTTATCGATTTGTCAAAACGAAATCATAATAAATGAACTGCGAAGAAAAATAGAGCAAAAGCTTGATCTGCGAATGAAATCGAATTTAGCTTACAAGATAGTTGACCGAGTTCGTGGCCCGTGGCATTTTATACGGAAAACGCTTGGATCATTATGAATTTTATACGAGGCCACATTTTGTGTAATTTTCACATTCCTCGGGGAAAAAGAAAATAAGAAAGCGAAACATTTTCTGTACGGACGCAATAAATATGATGGCATCGTATGGTCACTCGAATGGCAAAAAGACAAAACAGTGAAAGTAAATAAAAAAACAAAAGGATCGGGGAAACGTTCTTTGGTCCAGTTTGCCATGCAGGCGGCGACATGAACGAATTACCCACCTTTTTAGATCCATATTTAAAAAATATATATTTTAAAAAAAAAATCTTGAAATTCACCTCTCCAATTATTTACATACGCTAATTGGGAAAAAGCTAATCGTACGTTTTTTTACCTACTGCAGAGTGCTATAAATTTTGTCGTTGTTGGCCCCTGAGTTGCAATTGAATTACAGAAATGGTGGGTGGTCTGAAGATGGTGTCTCCGCCGCCCCCGTCTCCGGCGAGGGTACGGCGGCTACAGGTGGTGGCGAACGGCGGTGGGTTTCCGGCGTTTCTGCCGAAGGAGGTGGAGAAGATAAGAGACCCGTTTGCCAGAGCTCTTGCCCAGCGGATCGTACGGATTCCCGTTCCTCTTCAGGTTCTTGACCCTGACTCTCTCTCTCTCTCTCTCTCTTCTTGCATGTTGCGAAAACGCAGCGTTTGATACCATTTTGGTTTCAGATTCCTCGAAATTATCGGTTTGATTTTGGCGAATAATCGCAGATGGAGAAGTTCAACGGATGCGTGATGAGTAGCTGCATCAAGCCACTGGGACAACAGCACTGCGCCAACCCCGTCGTTCTTCTCCATTGTTTCGACAGGTTCTTGACCTGTCCTTTTCTTTTCATGGCAAAAAAAAAAAAAAGAAACCGGACAGATACTGGACTTTGATGTCTGAATTCTTGGTGTTTTTTTTTCCCTTCTCTAGCTCGTGCTTAGAGTGGCGATGCACCTACCCTTTGCTCGACCAAGCTTGCCTCGAGACTTGGGCTTTAGATGTTCTTGGATGGGGCTTCTCCGAACTCCGTACGTCAATTTGCTGGATTCGTTATAATAATTGGTTTCCGGTTTAGATACAATTTGTGTTGGTTTGCTATTTTGGTTTAGTTTTTGTTGATTTCGTTTACTTGTGTTCTAATCCATTGCAGAGGTGCTTCCGCCGTGCGATGCGGCGTCTAAGCGGCATCATTTGTTCCAGGTAATCTCGACCGTTAATCTCGCGGTTCGTTTGATCGATGGTTGGTGTTTAAACGTTAATCTCTAGTTCGAATAATCCTAGCTGTGGAAGACGTATATCAAGCGGCCGATGATTTTGGTCGGACCGAGCTTAGGTGCCACCATTGCCGTTGATTTCGCCGCTACCTATCCCGAAGCCGTACGTTCTATCGGCCCTAATCCGCCCCAAACGAAAGGAAGCTAAGTTCTATTTAAACTCGTAACTATTATCTCACAATATGCCAGGTCCAGAAGTTGGTTCTCATAAATGCCAACGCTTATTCAGAAGGCACCGGACAACTAGCAAAACTGCCGAAACTCGTCGCATATGCCGGGGTCGGTCCGAATACGATCGATTTAATTTCATTATGTTGGTAAATTCATATCAAAACATAGATATTATAAGGTTCTAAATCTGAATGTTTATGTATGTATCTTCAGGTCAGACTCTTGAAGTCGTTCCCTCTCCGTCTACTGGCGAACGTATTAGCGTTTCGTTCGGTACCCTTGCCCAAACAGATCGATTGGACCAACGTGAGAAAAATTTCACATTTTACATATCTTGTCACATTATCTTGTTCAAACCGAGATGGTCGATGTATTCATATGTTATTTGCGTAGGTTGGCCGGTTACACTGTCGAATGTCGTGGTGGGAAATGGCGACGGTCGATTACATGATCAGCGGAGGCTACAACGTCGCTTCACAGATAAAACTCGTACCGAAACATCGATTAAAAATGTATTATAAGTATATATATCTTAGCGAGAAATCGGTAACGCATTTGATTATGTTTTTTCCCTGAATAACTTGCAGGTAAAGCAGAAAACGCTCGTTATATGCAGCGAGAACGATCAGATCGTCAATAACCAGCTCTCGGTCGTAAGTCTTTCTTCCTTTTTTTCGCCTTTATATGTATACAAAGTGTTTGATATTTGTTGCAAGTTAAGGTTATAGTTTAGGTTTCCAAAACCAAAGCTTAACCGGACCGAATGGAGAATCATGTTGCATTTGGTGTTAACCGGCCGTTTGATTTGGCAATAAACCAATTTCATAGGCTTGTACTGAAGGAAAGGCTCCTACTTTTTTTTGTTGCTTGCAGAAATTGCTGTGTGAGTTAAGGAACTCGGTTTTTCGGGAAGTACCAGGTAGCGGTCATCTTCCTCACGTCGAGAACCCAGAGCACGTCGCCGAGCTTATTGCCGATTTCGCCCGGGAAGATCTCCGGTGACATCATCTCCGGCGACCGTACACCCTTAATTGATGTAAATGCAGCCATTGTTGTAATAATTGTGCTGCTTTGCTCGAGTGCCTCGACAATGTTCTATTAGATGGGGATGTGAGAGAGCTATATACATGGATGGTTGGTCCATATGAATTTGGATTGGACTAATCTTAATCAATGTATGGTTACGGAAATGACCAAACTCGATTTTTTTCCCATTAGTGTTGCAAACTAGATGTTTTAGTATTATTTTCCGTTGATAATAAATATGTTCACCCGTTTAGTATTTTGTCTAAAATATTTTTTTATATGTAGAATATTTGACTATTTTGATTATAAATAAATTTATAAAATTTTAGAGTTACAAAAAGTAGTCAAATCTAAAAGAGTCAAACATGTTAAAACGTAGATTTTTAAAAAAAAAAAAAAGAAAAGAAGATATAGATAGGGTTTCACCACGCGCAAACAAGAGCGCGTGCTTAGTACTCTCCGATTGTCATCTCTGTAGGGTCTCCTGTAATCTTCACCGTCAATATTTATAATCCACATCTGACCGTCAGTTTTTTAATGATCATATGATACAGTGTGTTCCACGAAACAGCTGATTTTTCCCTTTATTCCGAACCAACCCCCGGTTAGGCTCGTCCATGACCTCCTCTTTTGTTTTCGTGAATTTTTTAGAAAAAACAAATTTTGAAATTTGGAATCATGCATTATGGATCGCTTCATTCGTGAATTCATAAAAGAGAGATTTTCTCGCCGAAGAGGCGAGATTTTCTCGCACTTTCTCCCCGGGAAAACGAGAGGGAAAAGAAACTATGATTTACCCAATTTTTTTTAGAAAACAATCACTGTTTTTCCAAGTTAAAAAACGCAATTAAGCCCCGTGTTTGGCCTTTCTCTCTCTGCCTCAGGCGAAGAACCCAACTCCCTCACGGCTTCGCATCTGCTTCTCCATCTTCCAGGTATAAAAAAAATGAGAGTTCGTGTTTTTTTTGGGCATGTTCTCTGTTTCGCCGAATATTCTTTCGAGAGTATCCGAGTGGTGTTATGGAAGTCAAATGATTTTTGTTGTTTTTGCGCTTATTTTGTCTTTTTTTTCCCCTCTTACCCATTGACTGTCATATATGATCTCAGTACGAGTTCCATATTTAGCGATTAGTGTTGTCTAATCCAACAATTGGAGCTTAAATTTGTGTTAATGGAATATTTTTTTGTTAATTTGTCGTTTTTCCTGCTTTTTGTTCGTATGTGTCGGGTAAATTCTCTGTATGTTTCTCGTTTTTGTAATTTGGCATGCAAAGTTTCGTGTTTTATTTTCCTGAAATGGAATCCGAATTTCACATTGGGGTACGCTTGCTCTTGATTGGTGTTCCTAATCCCAGTGTTCAGTTGGACAATAATTCCTAATCTGAGTGTATTCTAGAATCAAAGGACTAATCTTTTCTTGATTCTTAAGCGTATGTTCTCTCGTATCAATGAACTAGTCTTGTTATCCATATCTTGTTTTGTCTTGTCTTAGACGTCGATGTCTGATAACGGCGTGAAGCATTTGACTTGAAGGACTCTTATATATGTATGGAAGGTGCTATTTTGTTAGCTGAGATTCTCTTGACTGCTTGAAGTGTCATGTCTGAAATTACTATGCCATGGACAACTTGCAGACTTCGTGGGAGGGCTTAGTGCTGAATCTTGAAGAGGGAAGAGAGGGGAACTACCTTTTGGTCTGGTGCGGCAATTTGGCTAGAACAAATGTGAAACTTTTTCAAAACGTAATGCTCAAACAGGCGCAAGACTTTCAGCTGCAGCAAATCAGTGGCTCGGGGTTCAGTGATCTAAGATCCTTGAACGATGAATCCCTAATGGGCATGAACCGGGTGCAAGGAAGTATACATCAAGGGGATGTTCTGCAAGATGCTTGCTCGATGAGTCCAAATCCTCCGCAGGTAGTTGTATCACTATATGATTCTTCTGTTGGCAGTGGAAAAAGCAGCATGAATTCATGGTCAGGACCATACCTGCAATCTGCTTATTTGACAACGAGTCATGTCGAGAAAGATCAGAAAACCATAACCTGGTTACAAGGATTCGATACTCCTTTTGTGAATACTTGCTCTCTGGATCCTAGTGTCATGCCAGAAGGGTTTCGGGAAAAGACTCCCTTCATGTCAAGTTCTGTTCTGGGCTCAAATGGAGACTCTTCATCACTACGGGATCAAGAAAATTTGTTGGGGATGCAACAAATGCCCAGAATATCTTCTCAGGGTAGTGTAGCACTGGACCCGCTAGAAGAGAAGATTTTGTACCATATGGATGATAATGTTCAGGATTCTTCTTTTGGCAGAAATAATAGTGAAATCAGTTCCAGTGGATTCAGCTTGAGCGCTCTTATGCAATGTGCACTAGCGGAAGAGACGGGTCCTCTAGATGGTAATGGTGACGATCAGATTCCCAGTGTTCATTCTTTTACTTCAAATCTAGAGAATGCATGTTCAAATGCATCTTGGATGAACCAGAGCTGTCTGGCGTCACTGTCTTCTGTTCATCCATTTCCTAATCTGCATGATTTCCCTCAACACGCACATCGGGCTAACAGATCTGATATTCCAGGAGAATCTGAGATGTCTGGTACGGGGCCGGGCTACATAATAAAAGGTCAGACTCATATACAAGAAACCTGCAATTCGTCTCCACCGTCTCGACCAAGTGCTCTTTCTACATATGGATTTTGTACGAATGCCCCTATCGAGCAAAATCAGTTGGTGGGTGAAGCCAATAAATTTCCTTTGTCATCCTCGATGGTACAGCAAAAACCTTCTGAGGTATATAATGCTCCACCAAATGCTTTGTCCGACCGGAATTCTTCATTCTATTTCTCAAAATCGTCCTTCAACATCCACCAAAAATCTGCAACTGTTGGACAGCAACAGCATAATGAATTCGAGATGGAGTATTTGAAGACTGATGATGACGGTCCCATTGGCGAGACTCGACCTAATGTAAGCAGCGTGCTTACTGGTCATTCGTACCAGTTTTCTGTTGGAAATTACGTGGAAAAAATAAGTTCTAATGCTTGGAATCCTGACATTGGACCGATTGATTCTGCTATGCAATGCGATGCTGTGAATCAAAATATGGTTGCTTTAAGACAAAAGAAGCGCAAAAGTACTACATTTTCCCAATCACCGTGGCATAATGTTGTCCTGCGAGGTTCAGACATGAGTCGGAGCATCAGGTTCTTTTCCTTACTTTCATAAATGTCAATACTTACCATATACTCTCATATTCTTTGATCCATATTGATGTTAGAACAGTCTTTCTTACAGTTTGTCAGAACAGAAGTGGGCATTTGCCACAAATAGGCTGTTGGAGAAGGTACCTACCTACCAAATTTATCATTTGCAGGAGCTTATTCTTTTTTACCTCCTCCTGTTCAAACAACAAACTAGAAAGCCGAGATGGAGAGAAAGAAAAACTTCTCAATGATAAAATCGGAACATTTGATTGTGGTGTGGTTACTCTCTCTAGGTTGAGGATGATAAGTTCGGCCCAAGTGAGGCGATTCCTCCCTCAAAAAGGAGGCTGATCTTATCAACACGGCTTATGCAACAATTGCTCCCTCCAGCACCATCTTTTACTCTCTTGGGAAATGCTGCTGTTTGCTATGAGAGCATAGTGTACTTTGTGGCAAGAGTAGCCCTTGGCGAGGCATGCGATCTTGCGTGCTATGGACTAAACATGCTTCAATCGCATTCAGACACGAGTGAAAAGTGAGTTCCATCCCGTTATGATTAGGATTCGAATTCTAATATTTTGTTAACCCGGTCTTTGTTTCTTCATATTTTAACATAAGGTAAACACAAGTTTTATAACTTAGCAGGGGATTTTATCTCGTTTGGCCTTGTGAAAGATTTGACCTTTGCCGTTCGTCCAGGATCTGTGACGAAATCATAACTTTGGGAAAGGCCGGTAATAAAGATCAACAATATGCTCAAACGGGCAAAGCGTTCATCGAGAAAACCCAGAAGCTCGAAAGTGACTTCCAAAGGTACGGACAAAGCGGTTGCCTCTTTGAAACATTTGAACAGCCCAGAATCTCTTGTTGTCTTTGAAGATCATGTTTCTTGTATGTACCTACCTTTATGCCAATGCTGGTTGGCTTGCATACATTTCATACCGGGGTAACGATATCCCAACTCTTGATCTTGATGCAGACTGGACAAGACCGCGTCAATCGTAGACATCATAGTAGAAATAAGAGAGATTCTCTGTGATGAACCATTTTGCCAGATTCCATAGCCGGATGTCGAAATCAGTTCCTCGGAGATACGTTACTGGACTACCAATGCCTAAGATACTACTACCCGAGGGAGTACATTGTCTTCCTCTATGACTGTCTTATCCATCCACCGGTTCCCCCTTGTTTTCCATCGGCGTCAGTTATTTTTTTCCCGGGATATCAGCACGGGATCCGGTATTCATAGTCCGGATGCTGAGAACGATGCCCCATCTAACCAGGAAATAGTGTTGTAGCTCGGAAGATAACCACGGAAGCGTAGAATAGAATAGTCGATCATCCTGTATAAAGCTTGTCACTTTTAGAAGTAGAATGTAGAAACAGATGATGCATATATAAGTGGTATTGCAGGTTACATTCTCAGGTCCCGTTTTTGCCGTCTCTCTCGTGGTTTTCTTCCTCCTTTTTTTCAGGGTCTCGGCCCTCGCGTCGCCCAACAGGAGAAATTCTTGCATACATGGTGAAATTGTTCATGTACTTGGTTCCGGTCGGATCATTTGAGACTTGAAGGTAATTGTTCATAAGTGTGATCATTTCAGGTTTTGATTCGATTCGGATTCGGTTCGATTATATTTGGTTTCAACTATTTCGGTTTTAAAAAAACTATAAACTTCGATTTGGTTTGATTTAAATTCAGTTTTTTTTAATCGATTCAGTTCAGTTCAGTTTCGATTTTTCCGGATTTAGAAAAATCATAACCGTTCAGTTTGTATGTCAGATTTGATCCGGTTATAGTTATATTTTTTTATTCGATTCGATTTCGATTTGGCGAGTAATAACGGTCACCCGACTACTAGACACTTTTAAAGTCAACCCCAAGATCCGTGAGCATATAAAAATCACGGTTGAAGGCCGACTTTCGAAATTAAGATAGCTTAATTACGGCGTGAGTACGGTATTATTGGTCGATCTCCCGATTCGGTTTACCTAAACCGGGTCGGGATGAAAGGAATCGAGGATCAATTAAAGGGGCATAAACCAATGAGCCATTTGACAAAGCATTTGATCTGGTCAATAGCCAAAATATAACAAGACCGTGAAAAGAAAACGAAATAAAGGAAACACGGGAAAGACTTTATGATAATGGTTAATATAGTTTGGGCCTGGGTCTTCGTTAAAGCCCACTTCAAGCCCATTTCGGATATGTATAAATCATTCAACCATTCACTTCGTTACAACTACATACATTGGTAACAAACCCACAACTAACCTGTAGAGCGTCCAACCTAATGGAATCGAATTTTAATTTCATTATTTTTTTTTATGTTGGTCTATTTGTAGGGGAAAATACAATTTGGGTTCGACCCGTAATTTTTTTTTTTCCAAATTTCAAATTAAGTATTTTACTTGTACATTTTTTTTATCACTAGTCTGCTGCGTGGCTTAAATTGGAGAAACAAATAGCTAACCTGATGTTAAATTTTTGTTTTCCAATATTATATTATATTATATTATATATATATATACACACATATGTTTTGATGGAACTTAATAGAAAAATGTAGACATCAATCTATAAATATGTTAGAGATTCGTGACCAAAATTAAAATGAAAAAGGTTGAATGATAAATAGGGGTGGGCGTTTCGGGAAACGGTTCGGGTTCGGGACGGGAATTGATCGGTTCGGTTCTTTCGGTTTTACAAAAATAGGTACCAATCGGTTTTTATATTGTATTCGGTTCGGTTCGGTTTCGGTATCGGTTCGGTTCGGTTCCGGGTTTTATTAAAAAAAAGATAGATTTCCTTTAAAAATATTCGGTTTTTCGGGATTTTTAAAGTTCGGTTCGGTTCGGTTTCGGAAAAATTCGGTTCTCTAAAAATGGTACCGTTCGGGAATTAAAAACGGTTTCGGGTCGGAAAAATACCGTTTTTTCGGTTCGGTTCGGTCCGGTTCCGAAGAACCGAACCGAAACGCCCAGCCCTAATGATAAATATAAATATAAATAAAAATTAATTTGTATTATAACAAACAAGTACTTTTGTGAAAAATATAAATAATAAAAAGACGGGTACTAGAAAAACTTTTATAACAAACAAGTACTTTTGTGAAAAATATAAATAATAAAAAGACGGGTACTAGAAAAACTTTTACTGTAAAAAAAGATATAATATATAATTGAAATTAAAAATAATATAAAAATCCTAAAAAAATTAAAAATTCAAGTGGCTGTCTATAATATGTTTAAATAAATAAATTGGTCCATACATAAAACGGTTGATCTTCCAAAAATTGAAACAAGATACATAAATTAAAAGAAAAATATAAAATAGCAAAGAGGGCACATGGTAGGGTTAGCATGGGGGGACTAACAAGTCACAATCACCAATGCCCATAAATTACACGCATATGATTATATGAATATGAATGCATCTAATATTCATATAGACACATGTATAGATATATACATACACATCACTATACAATATACATAACGTATATATGTATGTGACATCATCCACAAAAGACACGATACATACATATACACACACTCCTTTCCATATATATCACTTAGATATTTATTTCGTATTGCTTTTCTATGTCCCCATCTCAGCTTTATATATATTTTACTTCTTTGTAATTATTTTGTGTTTTTTTTTCAATTAAAAAAAAGGTATAAATTTCCATTGAATAATGACATGAAAAAAGCCATGGAATTGGACTAACTATTTGCATTATTTCAATATAGCGTATAAGATATGGAATATCGAGGTTATAACCAAAATTCATGTCGAAAGTGATATAAGATATAGCTTCAGTAGTCAGTGACAGATTCCAATAAAACAACGTTAAAATACGATATTAAAAAAGAATATATCACAGAGTATATTTAATGAGTGACGAAACTATTATATGTCTGTCCATCATTAGCTATCTCTTTCTTGATACAAATATATATATATGCTGCATGTACAATTATACACGCACGTATATATATAATGATCAGTTATTATATTTTTTATTTAATCAAACATTTCGAGACAATGAATTTGAGAAACGACGAAACGTTTTCATATACGTAAGAACAGTCGGTTCAAAATGCATTACATGAAAATAACACAAAGATGAGAAAAAATTAATAATAATATATAATAACATACATGGAAATTATAACACCACATTCGCGTGGTCATCATCAGATCCATAGATCTCGACCAGCTTCTGCAACGCCAAGACTTGCTTTCTCAACCTGATTATGTAATCCGCCGTCTCTCTGAACAGCTCCGCCGTCGCTCCTCCGTCGTCGACTACTACGTCCGCCGTCGCCCGAGGAAGAAGCCTCTTCAGCGCCCGGAGCTTTTCCGACAGCTTCCCTCCTCCGCCGCCGCAGCACGTGCCGAGATTCCTCTCACGTGACACATTTGCTCCTCTTCTGAACTTGTTGCTTCTTCTTCTTCTTCTTATCGTGGGTCTCGGTCTCTGAGTCTTTAGGGTTCTCATCGAGATCTCGAGAGAGTGAACGGGGGTTTCATGGTATACGTATATGTAAGGTTGGTGATATGGAATAGCCCTCGGGGTTGTAAGTTATTACGAGAGTACCACTGAAAGGCATCGGAGATATCTTGTTGTGATTCCATATATGAGGCTTCGTCACCCATTGGATGGCAAATATCAGCCAGGGACATTTATGGAAACATAAAATAATAGTTGGCCTTGGCCTTTCTCTCTGTGAATTTTCCAAAAAAATATATTTTGTTTTCAGATATGTACATATATATTTTTTTATAATACGGAAGTTGACTGGGCCCACGCTTGGATTTGAACTCAGTGTGGGACCATGTTTTGCATGTTCTCTCACTATTAGACCAGCCAAGTTTGGGTTATGTGCATATTATTTATTTGTATATTTCAGTCGTATGTATTACCAAATGATACGAGCCTCTCCAATAAAAAAACATTTCGTTTTGAAAAAATTATGGATATTATTAAAAGAAACATATATATATGTATATATGTATATCATAATTAAGTAAAGGTTTAAGGTTGTTGTGTTCGGAAACGTCTAAAAACGTGACCTTTGTAAAACAAAAAAAAAGACTACAACTCAAGTGTTTCTTATTAACAGCAAAAAAATTTAAACTCTTCATAAATATATACTTAAATATTTAGATTTCTCAACATCATTATTAACAAAAGGAAAAAGATTTTTCTAAATCGCATTTCTAAATGTTGGTTAGTAAAAGTTAAATTTTTTTCCGGTCAACGGTCAACCACATCGGGGGATATTGTTTATGGAAAATCCGAACTCATTTCAATAATAAAAAAGTATTCAATGATGTACTCCGAATGTACGGACACATTCAGAGAGCGAAACGTGGAGGGGTGAAATCGTAAATAAGTGGAAAAGAGAGACCCAAGTTGGTAGTATTCACTACAAATTAAATAAAGAAGGGGACAATATGTGATGGATTCGGAGATGCAAATTTTAGGAATTTCGTAAAGAATTTAAATATGTGAAAAAAAAACATGCCCAAGAATGAATGAAGTGAGATAGACAAGGAGGTTGATGCTGTCTGATTGTGGATTTTAAATATTAAATCTGATCAATATTGTCTGATATACTTTTTCACCCGAATTCGAGCATCAAATAAAATAGAGAACGTATAATTCAAATCACATGGCTGACTCTCGATTCCGAGATTAGTATAAGTTTCGATCCAAGATGTTCGGTTATAAAAATATATATATATATATTGTTTGATATACATTAGACAAATTTTTAGAACATTGATTTTTGTAGACAGATAATTTGCAAAGATATATATATATATATATCGTGCGTGTAAGAAGGAACTACAACAAGAAAAAGGGGTGTAATTTAAAAAACAAAAGTATAGCACAAACTATATTTAGTGGTAATTTTTGTAATTATTTGTACGAGCGAATTTTAAATTGTTTTATAGGACATTTTAAAAAAAAAATCAAGAACTTTATGATCCAAAGAAATGCAGGGTAATTTGGTAATCCAAACGGAAAGGGTAATTTGGTAATCCAAACGGAAAGGGTAATTTGGTAATCTAAATGGAAAGAAATGACGCAGGGGGGTGCATGTGAAGGTGACATGGTCCTCATTGGAGGAGCAGGGCCTTGTGAGTTGTGATACAAACTTTTTCTAAAGGAGACTAATATTTACAAAAATATTTTATTATTGATCATGAAATTCTCGTAATGATATGAAAAAATCGCTTTCAAATACCATAAAGAAATGGAGATTAATGGAATTGAACGAAAATTAGTATAAGATGGACGTTTTTATAATTGATTGTTAAATTTGTGTAAATAACCATATATATATATATATATATATATATACACACACATATATATATATATATGTTTAGAATATTAGATATAAATGGTGGAGGGATCTTGGTTTAGGGTCAGGGAACATGTTAAAGCCACATGGAAAAAGGAAAGTGTAAGGGAGAGACAGAGAAGCATCGTGAAACGCATAGCATGTTTCTGCACATTCCCTGCATGCATGCATGCTTTCTCCCCGCTCCCTCCACTATTTTTTCAAATTATTATTATATCACAAAAAACATATTTCCATTTTATAAAACAAAATTATTACATTTTTATATAAGAGAAACATATATAAAAAAGGGTCTTTTTTTTTATATTTCGATTTGCTTCACATGTTAATATATTGATTTCGCTGCCTTAATTAATGCCCTTGTTATTAACAACATGTGTGGCATTTATATATATAAAAAAAAAAAGATATATATATATATATATATATATATATATATATATATATATATATATAGATGTTGACGAAACATCTTTTCGTTGTATGAGTGTTCCTCATTCTCCATACAAAATAGAGAAGACAGCAAAACAAAAATCATATGTCCATTTAATATCCCTCTCTCTATTTTTGGGAGGTTTCTAAGTAAAAGCCAGCATCAGCTTGCTTTTTGTATGGTCACATGTATTATGTATATGATGATGATGCAATTAATCCATGTTTGTGTTCATGCCACATGCCATCTTCTTTCAACACTTCATGCTTACTATCATCATCATCATCATCATCATCATCATCATCATTATCATCATCACATTAGTGAGTTTGCCTCCAAGATTTTCACAAAATAATCACCTATCCTATATTCTTCTAGTTTAACCCCCTTTTTCGGATAAAAAGAAATAGATTTCAAATTGATTCTCTTTTTGTATGTGGAATCATCTCGGAAGAATTATGTATATTCCCCTAATTAGTTCTTTAATTTATGTTTTTTTGTTTGCTGTTGATGATGATTGGTTGGATTTGTGGGGTTATGGTGGGAGAGCATGTAGGGAATCCTGACATTGTAACATGGAGAGGCTGGTCACTCACCCAGACAACTGGACCCCCTCCCTCTTATAGGAGATCCTACAATTCTTATATATTTTATATTATTCATTATTCATTATTTTCCATTTTCATTTTTTCCTATAGTTTTTCCGTACGTCCATAAATTCCAATCTGCAATGCAATGGATTTTTATTTTGTTGAAAAAAAATGAAATGATAATTTTATTTAGGGGAAATCGCCATAAAAACCCTATATTCTTACCAGGTCAACGAAAAAACCCTATACTTTTTTGTTTACCAATTAAATCCTATACTTGGTATGATTAACCAATAAAACCCCAAACTTGTTAATAATTCACCGAAAACCCCCGCGTCTGCCACCTCAAATAAAAATGATGATGTGGCAATGACTTGGTTTCCAAGTTATGTACACATCATCAAAATTATGACACATCATCATTTCAAACAAAAATAAATTATATAATTTATTTAAATTAATTTATATACATATAAATTCATATATATATATATATATATATTAAATATTAAATTACTTATAACTAATAAAACACACGCACATATATATTTAATAGATACATTATATGTGTATGTGTTAGTTATAATTATTTTTATTGTAATATGTATATGTATTAGTTATAATATACATATATTTTATCAAAAAAAATATACATATATATTGTATTGTAGTTATGTGTGTAATATATTGTAGTTAAACATATAACATATACATATATAACTAATATACATATTACAATAAAAATAATTATAACTAACATATACACATATAATATATCTATTAAAAATAATATGTATATGTATATGTATTAGTTATACATGTAACATATATATATACAACTAATATGCATATTAAAAGAAAAGTAATTATAACTAATATATACACTATATATTAAAAAATAATATATATACAATATATATTAACAAATAATATGTATATATATATATTATTTTTAATGTAATTTATAATATATATATATATATATGTATGTTTTATTAGTTATAAGTAATTTTATATTTAATATATATATATATGAATTTATATGTATATAAATTAATTTAAATAAATAATGTAATTTATTTTTGTTTGAAATGATGATGTGTCATAATTTTGATGATGTGTACGTAACTTGGAAGCCAAGTCATTGCCAAATCATCATTTTTGTTTGAGTTGGCAGTCGCAGGGGGGTTTTCGGTGAATTATTAACAAGTTTGGGATTTTATTGATTAATCATACCAAGTATAAGGTTTAATTGGTAAGCAAAAAAGTACAGAGTTTTTTCGTTGACCTGGGAAAAGTACAGGGTTTTTATGGCGATATCCCCTATTATTTATTAATTAGTTTCATTACGGGCTGAAAACACAAAATAACCCAACTTATCAAGATAATCGTTCAAAATCTCTAACTATTAATAAATCCTGAATAAATCTTCGGTCGAAATTATCTTTTAAAATATATACATTTAAAATTTAAAGATTAGATGGAAACGAGATGTGGTCCTTTTTTGGGTAGTTTGTACTTAGCACTATGATTGATCCATTGAAAATTTGGTAATTGGGTATTGTATCAAGAGTTAAAAAATTTTGAATTTGAATATTGAATGAAAAGCATATAATTTATTTATTTATTTATTTATTTTAATGTTTTGTGAGACATTAATTTAGGCTCATAGCTTTTCCAAGTCTTTTTTGAGTAATTTTAATGTTATATATATACCCTTTCAAATTTTCTATAAAAAATATACAAGTGAAAACTATATTGTCTAAATGATTGCTGGAAATTACCAGAAAGTTTAATTCAACAATAAAGCAACGAATACCCCCCACATATATGCAAGTTATTTATTCACATGAGAGGCAAAACCATATAACAATTGCATTAAGCTTTATTATACATAACATTACCAAAAGTTGGTATACTTCAAGCAATCTCAAAAGCAGTTTACTCAGCTAAATAATATAACTATCAGGGTTCCCACTAAAAGCCCTCAGCATATATGTGTACACATTCACCATAGCTTCAATGGCAGCCATATCATACACTACATCTTCAGACAGTATCATAAAACATCTGAACCATACTTACATTAAGTGGCTTGGATGGAAACCTTCTCCAGGAGCAGCACCAGTTCAAACAGAGTCCCGCATGCTAAACCCTAAACCCTAACCCTTCGAATCGCAGAGGCAGGGAACCATGGAAGGAAGGAAGGTTCTCGGAAGTCAAGCGACGATCTCTCTGACGAGCCAATCGAGACAAGGGTATGCAAAGTAGAGGATGAGGAATGACGGGAGAGCCAACAAGAGAGTGATAAGAATGTACAGTGCCAAGATGGCTGCGCTTGTCGGTATGGCGTAAAGAACTATCAGAAGGAATATGATGACCAGTGGGAACTTAGCTGTCATATGAACAAATACCACCAGCGACTTCCTCAGCGAATTCTGTATACTCTCCAAGCGCATGTTGCTGTTGTTGTTCAGGGCATTTCGATGATCGATACCGGATTCTGATGGCTCATGCTGATTTGGAGATCCTCTGATACGGTTTCTATGCGGATCAGATAGGTTTATGTTGGGCGAATTCCCAGGGAAAGACCAGCTCCGATGAGAATCATCATCACCACCATCATGTGCAGAAGCGTTGGACTTGAGCCTCTCACCGTTCATCCTCTCAACCATCCAGAGCACAAAGTAATTCTTGCGAGGGAACTTGAGAGTTCCCTTAAAGACGAGGCGGAAGGACAAGAGGTTGCACCATGGGCATGAAATGAAGAGAGGAAGCTGAACCGGGAGAGTAGGAAACTTCACGACAGCCCACTGAAGCCCGAGAATGCAGTTTTTGCAAAGAGTGTGGCCACACCATAGTACGTAGGGAACGTTCTCAACTATGTTGAATGATTCCCAGCATATAGGACACTCGAGACCTTCTTCCTTGCTGGCAACAGAGGAGGCATCATCGTCATCATCACCCCGACATTCCACGGCTGGACGGACTGCTTTCCTCGTGTCATTTCTCAACCCGATGTTTCCCGTAAGATAGCTCGATGCCAGATTCCACATCCTGGTGTTGGGGATGGATAACATGACTTGCCTTCTCCAGCAAAACCAAGCCCAGACCCGTTCTGTTAATAGCTAAAAGCGATCTTTATAGGGCTCCCATGTCGGATATAAGTTCAGAAGAAGTTGACCCTTTTCATACTGCAACAATAACTCATACGAAACCAAATGAATCGAAAGGCTTTTTAGTGTATTGACCTGAGACCACAGCTAGGAAGGAATCTCAGACAATATGAATACCAGAAAGTATGATTTCATTTCAAAGCAATGTAATTACAATCCACAACAACACAGTGCTGCCCTGTAAATGGTGAATCATGACAACAGTGGCAATCGGACAAAACATAAAACCCAACATTCACACAAGTAACAAGCTAAAACAGATTTGAACTTTATAGCTTTCAGGTTACTGCACTCATTGAACAAAAAGGTTTGCTCTCAAGCCATTTTCTTCCATCTCAGATCTGACATCCCCACAAGTTTTACTAGTTGTTTGATAGGAACTTGACATCTATATGAACACCCTATGAAACGAATGCTCGAGTCCAATGAATCTAAAGCTCAACATCCATTAAAACTTTCAATGGCTTAACTCCTATCTATCAGATCCCAAACTCGATCGTTTCTGGGATCACAGCCATGAAGATGACTCACTTTACCAGTGACCTAAAACCTAAGTACAAAAGAGAGAAATCTAGCTTCTCACAACTATCGTCAAAGAAAAATATCGAAAATCGAGGCAATGAAACTATGCGGAAACACCCAAAACGCGAAACTGTTCGATTCCATGAAAATCTGGAAAAAAGAAACCCAATTAAGCGAGGGAAGGAGGAAACCCTAAATCAAGATCAGTGATCAGATCGATCAAAATGGAAGCAACTAAGAGATGGATATAAATCGAGTTAAACCGCGAACCCAGACCCTGAATTATAGGACAAATCGGTCGAAGAATCAAAAAGAAAAATTCTAGACAGAACGGAATATCAAATTTAAAGAAAGTCGTACAGACAAGATCATACCGATTCTGATTCAGTTGATTCTGTACCGACACACCAGAAGACGTCTCTCTCTGTCCTGAGAATCGCAGTGTTAGATTCGTATCGCATGTGGGAGACGACGATGCTCGATATTTATTTTCCTCCAAAATCCGTTGAAGATTTTCTTGGTAATAAAAGAAGAAATTTAATATTTAAACTTCCAATTCTTCACCTTTACAATTATTAATACAACCATAAAATTCTAAAACTTGGCAAAATTCCCCTCACATAAATTAAAAAAAAAACGTTATAACCAAATAATAAAAGATTTTAAAATGTGTTACGAATTTTCCGAAACTTTTAAAATATAAATATTTCAATTATTTTTTTATAAATATACAAAGGACTATTAGATTGCGCGAAACAAACAGTTTCATCTTCTTCCCATTGTCAGTCATGAAGCTTCTTCTTCGAAACCACATCAAACGTTAAGCCGTTCTGTTCGAGCCGTTGCTGGAGATCGGTCGGACCAAAGACGATGCCCGGAGTGTAAACTCCTCCTTTCACTAAGCTTTCTCGTTGGCTTAACACGATCAGTCCACATTGAACCAGTATTATCGGCGTGGTTATGTACCCGATCTCGGGCCCCATCATCCTCGTTACGATCTCCATGTCGGGTTTCGTCTCCCCTTCGGAAACAAGATTCTCATCGCTATAGCCATGGCCCACGAACCACATCTTAAACCTAGTTCTCTCCACTTCTTCCTCGCTCGGACCCTTTTTCCGGAACCATCCGAGGCTGAAAACCGACGGGAATTTCAGGAGGAGCCATCTCCCGAGGGAGAATTTTCCGAGTAGTGCGAGGGATAACCCCAGGGTGATGTACCGGAATATTCCAAAGACAGATCGAGACGTTGTCTTTAACACGAAATGAGCAGGCCTGATGGCTGACCAGAACGCGCCCGGTTTTGAATCTGATCAGGACTCTCGTTTAGCCCGGGAAGTCCAGTCGGGTTCTCTGTCAGAGTTGTGAGGGTTCTGTGAATGACCATTGCATCTGCAGAAGGTAGCGTCACCGCCCAAAGACCAATCTCCTTCTGGTTTTCTATCACCGACCCTTTAGCTGGAGGAGGACCGACAATCTGCAAATACATTCATATGATATGATATGGGGAAGATGATGATGATCCAAGATGAAAACTTTACCACTGGCATTGGCCTTCTAGGTCTTGAACGTCGAAGTTCTTGTAGCTTTGCTATGTTGGCTACACTTAAGACAGCAGATTCGTAAGTCCCGAAATTTCCGGCGATCCTTTTGTCGGATTCCAACCTGAGATATGCTTCGATCCGGTTAGGAACAGAAGGGGGCTCCCACTGTTTGGAATTGAAGAGAAACCCTAATTCTGCAGGCACTGAATCGAACCCACATGCAGAAACGATCAAGGAGCCGGTCTCTTTGGCTGTTTCATGGAACTTTGCCTCCATTGTCTCCATGAACTCAGATTCACCACTTATGTCCAAGTAATCACACCTAGCAAGTGTAAAAACCACACCAGCAAATGATGAAACTAAAATGAGATTAGATTTGTCAATTATCAGAAATAATCGAGCCAGTGGTGTATTAAATCTATCTTATAATGCCCACAAGAATCATAACCTAGAAGATCAGAGTGTGTAATTTTTCATAGAATGAATGTTCTTCCGCCACCAATTTCTGAGGTTTGAATTCATCTTCTTGCTAAGGATATTTAGAACCTTATGAGTTAAAACATAAATTTTAAATATCAAATCTGCCTAATATTATCTGAATATCCTAAACCACAAAACCCAATAATAACTGAAATGTGGGAGTCAAACATTCACCATTTATTTCATTTTAAAGTTAGAAATTCTAGTCAAACTCATTATCAATCTCATGATTAAAACCCCAGAAAACTCAGACTTGCCCACTGCAACAAAACTCCTTGAGTTCAAAGTCACTTGTTTTAGTCAAATGATTCATCCCACCGTCGAAAATTTTCGATTTTTCAACTTACCCAGTTCGCATCCAATCGCAAATCACCCGGAGGACCCAAAAACAGAACAAGAAATAAAAACAGAGTACCCAGATTCGGCGCAGGCGGCGACGACGGGCTCGCCATGGAGGCGGAAGGGTCCCACACAGTCGAGGATGAGCTTTGTTTGACGACAGAGACGGCGGAGGGATTCCGGGTCGGAGGTGTCGGCGGTTAAGATGGCGACGGAGGGAGGTGGGTTCGGGCGAGAGGCCCATTCGAGGGATCGGGTCAACCGGGCCGGGTTTCGACCCGCCAAAGCCAGGCTCTTCAGGGGAGACGACGGCTCGTCGAGGAACTTGAGGGCTTCTCGCACGACGTACTTGCCGGTGAAGCCAGATGCCCCGAGGATGACTATGTCGTGAACCGGGTCGGGTTTCTGGGTCGGGTCCATTTCGGATTCGGGTTTAGGTTCTGCCCTTCAGAATCGGAGATGGAGAAGTTTTTTTTTTGGGTTTGCCGTGTTGTTAGTTTAGGACTCCTAGGTTTTGGTTCTCTTAATTAGGACTCCTAGGTTTTTACGCTTAAATTCCATTTGATTCGATTCTATTTTGCTTATGATTATATTTAATTCTCTTAATTACAACTATTGGGTTTTATATTAAAATCGATCTATTTTGGTTAGGATTATATTTGGTTCTCTTAATTCGAACTATTAAATTTTATATTAAATTCGATTTTATTCTATAAAAATATTCATAAGACCTTTTTCGGTTATTTTTTTATACTCTACAATCGGTTAAAAAAAATATAACAGGGATACCACCTTTATTAGATTTCCTTGGTAATCAAATAAACCACCTAATTAAAACGTATATTTGATCCAGTTGATGGAACAAAATATTATTCAATCTCGTCATGAAATGCCCTAAAGTTCCAATACGCAAAAGCCCACATGACAAAATGGGCCTTAGATCATAGAGTCCGTTTGAGGCCCAATAAGCCCAATAACTTCATCCCAAAGCCTGCAAGTGTTGACTTCATGACCAAAACCAATAGCACTCGCACTACAAGCCGCAACAGTCCAATACCCACTCAAGATCTCTTCATCCAACTGCTCTTTTTCCCACAGGCAGTAGCCATCAAAGAACCTGAACTCGTTTCTTCCCAAATTCCTCTTCACCATCTCTGCAACCAATCCGATGTTCTCTATCGTCCCACAGTACAATCCCTTCATCACTTCCCTGAACTTCCCGCTTTTCCCGACCTCGTTTTCTTCTCTACCGTCGCCTTTCGGCCTCACCAGAAACATACCTCCTTCCAATGGTCCTCCGAAGAAGAGTCCTTTATCTGAAAACGTTCCTCTTACGTCTAGGACCATTGATTTCATCTCCTTGATTGACATTAGAGACGATGGACGGTTGAGGATGATCCCTGTAGGGCCCGATGGGCCGACGGATAGGAGGAGGATCACCGTTCTTTCGAACATGTGAATGCCGTCTAGCTTCTCTGTGGCGATGAGGAGGCAACCTGTCTCGGGCTCGTGGATCTTGTGTGCCCATTTGTTGCCGTTTGGGGCTGGTGATGATGGAGAAGGGTCCATCGTCATGGTTTGTTCTCCGGCCACGAGCCTTGCTCTGATTTCTCTCCAGTCAGCAGCATCTGCTGCTGAATTGTTGTTCTTGTAGGGATCGTTATCATCATCTACTGGCTTCCATGAATCCGAATGACAGCCTAGTCAAGTAATTTGTTCATCAGGGTGTATGCAAAATCTATTCGAGGAAACAATAAAATTTTATTCTTTTCCGAACGATCTTGCGAAAATGGAACCAGAATGAACAAATCCATTGTTTTGTTTCAAAGACGAGCAAATTTCCAGTTTGTTTGAAGTTTGAACAACTGAATCCATAAATGTAATATAGATTTCCGACAGAATATAAAAGTCACTGTGAAAGAGATGTACTTACAATACATAGAGAGCGGAGAAGCAACATCCCTGGTCGAAAACTGGCCAGAGTTTCTCTTGGAAGAAGAAAAGAATCTGGCTTTGATGAACAGCGGCACGAGCTCTTTGGTTCCAGAGATTGATCTTGAAGTAAACAAACAAGCTTCCATGTCACTTCCCTTCCCTCACAAATTCAGTTCAGTTCCAATGCAAAGCCACACACAGCAAAAACACGTACGTATACAAAGAGAATGGACAAATATGAACCACAAGCTGAATGTTCTATGTTTTTGGATAATTGGATAAGGGGAATATATTTTATCTTTTTGTGGATGATGTGTCACAGTCTGTCATTATTGGTTTTGGTAGTTCTATATGTAATGTAAGGTCACTGGAATTTGTAAAGAGTAATTGGGATCATTCTTAGAAAAAAGATAAGTCTTTAGAAGAACTAAGATGCAATCAACTCAATGTAATAGAATTTGTTGTGTTCCAAATCATCTACTACCACACAAACTATGGTGGAAGGCGACAAAGGGAAGGGGAAAAAAAGGGCATTCTCTTTGTGGTCCTCTCCTTTCTCCCTTAGTTTATCACTATTTCCTGGCTTTCACACAAAATGATTAGAAAAAAAAGAGAGATGAAGAACAAAGATTTAAGTGGTTACCTAGTTAGATGATCCTCTCTCATTCTTGATGGAACTGCCACTTTGATGCTTGATCATGGAACCTGGTCCGCGACAAAGAAGCAATTCAAAACCTTTAGCTTCTGTATGGTCAGCCTTCAACTCCTATATGACGAAGATAGAGAAAACTGAAGAACAAGAATAATCCTGTATTAGCTAATTATACAGTCTGTACATCAGAGAACTCATGCAAGTTTGTAATACATATGTAGATAAACAACAGTTCAGACCATCCTTTCAATATGAATAAGTATTTCAACTAATGCACCTATATGGTAACAGATTTCGGATCCAGGAAGACTTGTATGTAGAATGGCAGAAACCACACCAGGCGAAATTCTTGCCACGCAAGCTCTAACTAATCGGATCATCCAACAGCAATCATCTCGTTGATTTCCGGCGAAAAAACTTTTTGTGAGTGATCAACTTTCCGGAGATCTTCAACTAGCCTACGAACCATCTGATATATTTGATCGGATTTCGGGTGTGATTTGTCAAACACGGTAAATTCATGTACCCCATCACCGAGTTCAATCGAACTAGCCCCTGATGTTTTTTCTACGCCAATACTCTTCATCTTTGCCCTTATATTAGCAACTCCATCCCAATCCTCCGCTGCTGCAAGAATATTTGACAGCATTGAGTAGTTTCCAGGATCGGAAGGATCTAACCTAACCAAATGATCTAATAGCTCCTTGGCAATATCCGTAGCGTTATGTATCCGACACGCTGCAAGAAGAGCACCCCAAATAACAACATTTGGCTCCATGGGCATTGTCTGGATAACCTTAATAGCTTCCTTTAGTCTACCACCTCGGCTCAAAAGGTCAACAAGACAACCATAGTGTTCGACTTGTGGAACAAGCCTATACTCTTTCTCCATAGAGTAGAAGTAATTGATACCCTCATCGATGAGACCCGTGTGAGTGCAAGCACACAAAACAGCAACAAAAGTGAACTTATCAGGGCGAATCCCTTCTCTTAGCATCCCAGAGAAAAGCTCAAGAGCTTCCTTGCCATGGCCGTGCACACCCATGCCTTGAATCATGGCATTCCAAGAGACGAGGTCCTTCTTAGGCATCTTGTTAAACAAGTCAAATGCTTTTTCGAGGCTTCCACATTTTGCATACATATCAGTTAATGCATTTAACACATAAGTGTCAGAACTGAGCTTAGACCCTTTAATTATGGAGTGAACTCTCATCCCTAAACTGAGCAAACCAGACTCAGCACAAGCAGACAAGATACTAATCGCTGCTGCAGCATCAAATTTCAGACCAGTAGCCATCATTTGATCAACCAATCCATTGGCATCCTTCACAAGCCCCTTTTCCGCATACCCGGCTACAATTATGGTCCAGGTGACTAAATTTTTAACCGGCATCTTATCAAACAGAAATCGAGCCATTTCCATGTCTCCGGCTTTGCTATAACCCATAACCATGGTCGACCAAGACACCGTGTTTCTCTCAGGCATTTGCTCGAACAGTTCGAACGCTCTACTCATGTCTTTGCACTTCGCATAGCCATCTAACATTGTATTCCAACTAATCAAATCTCTGTGAGGCATTTTGTCGAACAACTGGAGAGCTATCTCCATTTCTCCGGCTTTTACCAATCCACCAAGCATGGAGTTCCAAGTCACGGTATCCCTCTCTTCCATCGTCAAGAACAACTTCATCGCAGCTTTAACACCCAAAGCACCACATTTTGAATAACAATCGATAAGGGCATTCGGAACAAATATATCGGACAAAAGCCCCAATTTTTCGATGTGATTATGAATCAGTCTCACCACGGGCAACCATGGTTGACCTGAACACGCCTTCAACAGAAATGGGTAAGTGAAATTATCGGCGAAGACACCATTTTTCTGCATTTCGGAGAAAACAGCGAAAGCTTGGTGCGGTTGCGAGTTCTGCACATGAGCCCGAATCAAAGTATTGCAGAGATGAGCATTGGGCTCGTCAACATGATTGAAAACCCTAACAGACAAAGCCATTTGTCGGCAGAGGGAAAGATGTTTTTGGATAATTGGATAAGGGGAATATATTTTATCTTTTTGTGGATGATGTGTCACAGTCTGTCATTATTGGTTTTGGTAGTTCTATATGGAAAGAGCGGAGATGAGCTTAGGAGCGATGTATAGATCTCCATGGAGATTCCTCCGAATGATCTGCGCGTGAAGCTGCTTCACCTGGCTAAAATCGGAGCATTTGTGGAGATCCTGAAGCTTTTCCTCGAAGACTCTCCGGGTCGATACCCACGAAGGCGCTCGAACCGGTAGTGACGTCATCAACGGCGACATAGAGGGTGCAGTGGGCCGTATTTTGAGTTTCGCTTCGTGGATAGAAGGAAGTTTATCAACGGTTTTTAACCCAAAAAAAAAAGTTTATCAACTGCATTCCACAGTTACATACACAACTGTATATATATATATATATACACATACATACACGCGTGTACCAGTGAATTTTTTTTAGGAAATAAAGTAAGAACGCATTAAAATCTGGATTTATAGATATTCAAGTATCAAAATTCAATCGATCCCAAACGATGTTAAATTGAACGACATCTAACATAAGAAGTCAATATCTAATGCGCATATCATGTTTAAAAATCAAACTAGCAAATCATATAATATAAAATAGGGTAAAAACCCTAAAAAACCTACAACTTACAAAATATATACAAATAAACATTCAACTTGAAAAACTGTCGATCAATCCCTGAACTTGTAACTTGTCACTGAATAAAATCTCGAACTTGCAAATTATTGCTCTATTAAAACTTTGACCGGCTTGACCACAAATTCAGACGACCGGAAATTCAAGTCGGTTTGACCACAATTTCAGACGATCGGAAATCCACGTATTAACGGATTGCTGATGTCACCTCGTACATGTTATCAATTTTAATTTAAAAAATGACATCAATAATCAGTCAATACGTAGATTTCCGATCGTTTGAAATTATGGTCAAACCGGTCAAAGGTTTATTAGAGCAATAATTTGCAAGTTTGAAGTTTTATTAAATGACAAGTTACAAGTTCGGGGATTGATTGACAATTTTTCAAGTTGAAAGTTTATTTATATATATTTTTGCAAGTTGGAGGTTTTTTAGGAGTTTTACCCTACAAAATATATTTCTTAACCAACCGGACAAAGTCATTCTCAATATCTTGTTTCGATGTAAATAGTGTGAATGAATATAATATCTGGACCAAAATAATTCATATACAAAATCGGTTCTAAGTTATACGTAGTCGCAGCCCAGAAGCATATGATTATTAAAAAAAATGTTTCCTATAGGAACATTATATAGTATAAAATATATTTGTTTTCGTCGTACTCTTTGAATATACACTGCTTTTTAGGGTTCTGGATTGGGACGAATGAATTTGTTTTCTTTTATAGCGGTTCATAAAGATATATAGTTTGATGATTGCAATTTTGTGGGTCCAAACTAGCAAATGATATATATGTAAATTGTTCCTTATGATATAACATACATATTTTACCGGTTCGGTTTGATGATTCCGGTTCGCAAAACTTTTGGAAAGAAATGCAATTCATCATATTCGAGGAGCCGTTAAACAATCACAGCTTGAAACCAGTAAACCGGGAATCAACCGGAAATATTGTTGTGATAACCAAGCCGGTTGTAATCCAAAGTTTTCTTAAGCGAGCGGACCGGTTCGCCGTCTAAGCTTTTATTGTATTAGAAATAGAATTGCAATTTGTAATCAATGCACAAATTTGTTAATCATTTTTTCCCCATTGAAAAAAAAATGATGTTTCTTATAAATAATCTAATAGTTTTATTTTTTCCCGATAAATTGTATAATTTTTGCAAATAATTCTTTTTTTGAACCTTTACCTATATACCCTACCAAATTTATTAAGAATATCCTCTTTTCCTTTTTTTTTTTAATCTCTCCATCGTCCAATTCCCTATCTCATTTATTTCAAAATCCGAATACTAAAAAAATGATTTTTTACAAAAATAAATATTTTAGAGATATTGAGAAATATACAACGAAATTTTGTAATCAAAGTATATTAGAAACAGAACCGACGAACATGTGCAAAGATTGTGTTTGTTCAAATATTTATTTGGATGAGTAATATATTCCAGATGAGCAAATGCATAACAAGTTTTATCATTCTCATATTATCAAAACAAAAAAAAAACAAATTTGCGTGAAATTACTTTTAAAAAAACTCCAACTTTTCATATATTTCAAAAAATTTAAAATTTTCAAACATAATCCATAAAGATTTAAGCTTTTTAACAAAAAAAAAAAACAGAGGGAGATTTAGAAGAAGAAGGACGAGAAGAGAATGTAGGGCAAAACCAGCCGCTTTGACAGCCAAGGCTAAGGAGAACAGCAAAGCGACCAGGAGCCCCTATCTTCTGATTTGCGCCTACACACCCTTACGGTGCGCCACATTTTTTTTTTCTGGAATTCTCCAAAAAAAAAAGTAACCCTTATCTCGTAGTGGAAATACCACGCTTCCTCTTCCTCAAGAGGGAAGCGCTCGGCCTTAGGCGCTTTCTGCACCTCCCCTTCTAGGGTTTCCTGTTTTATAGGCTTTTCTAATTTTCCCTTTTCACCCCATTAGTTTTCTCTTTTTTCATTCCCACCCCTGTATTTTTCTTCGTTTCTCCTTTGTCCTGCCTCGAAATTTGAGAGAATCTACCAAAGAGAGTTACCACAGTAAATCTACGAAGAAAGATTGCATTTTGGCACTGTACCATCACCAAATGCTTCAGGCAATTAACGTCGTGACCATGTTCATTGCTCACGTATACACGCGCGTGTGTAAATGCAAGAATATATATGTATGTGTGTATGCGTGTATATATACAAATTTGGAAATTTGACACCAACCCAGATGCTAAAATCTGTGATTGCTTCGAAGGATATCAAAACTTTCGGATTTTCTCTTCATTTGGAACAGTTTTATGTAATGATTTTTATCATATACCATAGTTTCGGTGTGGCCTTTAGTTAAGAAGGAGCACATGATAAACGCAATTAAAGTTTAAACACGAGGATTAACAGTGATTTGGAGTGATAATAAGCATACATACAGTGTAAGGATTGTTTTACAATGAACAACAACACATTCTGAAGAAAACACAAAGGCGTTTGATGAACAAACAACAAATGAGGTCAGGCTTATTTTATTTTTATCATGTTGTTTTCTTCATCCAACGGTCGAGATTTACATACACGGTAGTTAGTTTTACATGAGAACTTCACCGTCGTCTGGGGTTAGCAGTGTAGGGATTTGACCATGGTCAACGAAGTCGATCTTGCTCAGTCTCAGACAACACATGACTTGCTCCGGTAGTTCTTCTGGTTTTTGCGCCTGTCTCCATATAAAATCCCAAACAGCAATAAGAAACAGTCTTTGATTAAAGTTTCGATTTTTTCTTGTCTGAACTGCTGCAGAATGATCGATGACTGCTCGAGAGATCAAGTCAATCCGGTTTATCCAACGAATATCTATACAATACGGAAGTTTTTATCACCTGGATGGTTAAACCGAAATCGAGGATTCCATTTTGCAGTCGGTCTCTGAATGCTTCAAGTCCTTTCCGTGATAAGTAGCTGAACCGATGAACATCCAAATCAATCTCGAAGTAGTTAGGACCCTGCAAGAGAGACAGACAGGAACGGAACGGATCATGTCTTGTAACCAAACTGGTTGAAAAGGGGATCAAGATTTTTTTATGAAAGATTCTTGCTTTTAACCTTGTAGAAGTTGTGTTGAGGACGGGAGAGGACGGGTTTTTCATTGTAAGCCTGTACAAGCTTCTTCTCGGCCGAGCCTAGATTGAGATCCTCCGGGTTAACCAACCCGGCCACGATCTTAAGCCTTTCACGGAAGGCAACTGTGTTATCTTTCGCAAACCCTTTCACCTTTTCCATCTCGTCATCGATCAGTTTCTGTAGCAAACGAAAAACCCGTGAACATATTAAGATCAGGGCAAGCTGCAGAAATTTCGGGATCCATAAAAAAATGTCGACTTTTACCCTGATGCTGTCCTGAAATTGCTGAGAGATGTCTTTTTCGTAGTTGTCTTGTAGTTTGAAGTAAAGCACGAGGCTCATACCTTCTCCATCGCTATCGCCGAGGAACATTGCAGCAGGATATGTTGGCAACTGCTCATGAGCCACACAACTGTCATGATCTTTAAATACAGATCCTTTACAAGAACTGCCTCAGCTAGATAAAATCGCCATTTTTTTACATTATTCCAACTCACTACCACATACGATGAATTCTAGAGGTTTTCTCCCTATCTATGCAAAGATGAAAAGGACATCAATGTTTGACCAAGTTACCTGAATGTTGACAATCATAAGAGAAGGGAGTATGGCCTCGGCTTTGATGTCGGGAAGCTCGAGGTGTTGGGCTATGTGATCGATCTTCCTTGGGCAGATGAACAAGTCAACGCCTATCGGAGTGTAAGGACACTGGTTTGGAGCCATGGATTTCTGCTTGTCTCTGCAGAAGCCATTGTTCAACAGTTTAAATCCACCATGAAATCAAATATATAGAGGGTAAAACACGATTCTGGCAGAAGGTAAATACAAAAAAAAAAGGAAGAAAAGAATCCCGGGTCATACTTAAAATAGGATTCTCCACGGAGTTTAAAAGTTGAAGGTGGAAGCTCACACCATCTTCCCGGAGACTGCTTCTCTCTCGCTGAACAAGGAATGATCAATCCCGCCTTTGGACGATACATTACCCTCCTTGATGACCCTTTATGAATCAAGAGTTCAGTTCAACAATACTTGTCAAATAACCGATGGGCAGTACATATGCAAATGTATACGGAATGCTTGAGTGAAGACTGAAACTTACAATGCTCGGTAACTTCCTCTCCATCGCATGATCTCCTCTTAAAAGAAAGCCGGTAAACTGCTGATCTTCTCTTCTGAGAAGTGGGTGAGTTTACAGTCTTGTCGTTGAAACTAAGAGAGGGCATCAACCGGCTCAAGCTGGATCTTAGGGTTTTTTCTTGAGAGTTTCGTTTTTGTTCCTTTAAACCTTTGAAGCTTCCAAAAGATTGGTCCGATAGTTTCGTCTTCTTGTTGTTTCCAGTGATAACGGACAAACCTTTGCTCATAAATTTCTCGGTTTTACCACCATTGATCTTCAAGTAAGTCTCATTGTACTCTTCATACTTTCCCTTCCCATCCACAATGCATGAAGAAGCTTCATACTGAACTACTTGACCATTTGTGTGGTTACCCATCTTCCCACCCGCCGACGATACATTATCAGCTGCAAGAAATCAAATTAGTTGTTTAATTATTATTCATGTTTCAAAATGGCTCCTATTCAAACATTTCATAACTTCTATGGTTATTCGGTTTATGTAAACTTTAGCTATGTCAATTCAAAAGATAAGTAGATTTCGGGCTCTACCTTCATGTAGGCTGATAAAGTCATCATCTGAGTCAGAATCAAGAACACTGACGGAGTCAAACCATGCCTCTTCTTGGGAAATTGCTGCAATAGTAAAGATTAAACAGATCAATTCGAGATCTTTGAACTATCTTTGTCATATATACTGGGAGAACAATCGAGTCACTGACCCCCACAAAAAAATATTGCAATTTTCTGGATGTCGAGGAGACTTGCGAGCATTTTGAAATCAAATACAGCTCGAACATTAAATCAGATAGACGGGTTTTCTTCTGCGTATACAAGTTATACAGGGAATGTATCCAATCTATAGATGCTCACCAAAAGATACTCGGCTCCCGACATCACTGGGTCTTCTCGTGTTTGCACGAGAGATAATATCAGAAACTTTAGACAAGTTTTTGGAAGATTTGTGATGGCTCTTCCTCCGGGGCCAAATTCTTCTTGAATGGGTCGATACACATCCACCCATCGCTACAATTTACTTTGAGGGTCCTGCCGGAGAAAAATACGTCGGTTTCATCTTCAACAGGAATAAACACTAGTGAAAAGCCAATACCAAACATACATCTGCAACACACAAATGCAGGTTCAAATAATGCAAGAAGGAGTGAGCATCAGAATTCAGAACAGAAGCTTCTCTCAAAAAATTAACACATAAGATCTCAACGAGCTTGACAAAACATCCACAGATTAAAAAAAATATAGTAGTGATTTGCTGTTTTTTTACTTGAAAACTTTGAAGAATCCATTGCCTGAGCCATTGATTCAATACTGAGTCAACACATGATTCTCTCAAACATGAAGACGCCCAAGAACCAGTTCCCACAGGGATCCAAGAACAATCAAGAAGATTGAGCTTAAAAAACCATCTCAAAACATAATTTATATCAGACAGGAACTTAAACAGAGTTAATGCCATCACATCATCAAATTCTGGCATCCTCAATGGCTGGCATCACATTGCACCTGATTTGAAGAAAAGCTATGACAATATGTGAAAACCTTATTGCATGTATTAAATAAATCATACATTACAAGAAAAGGGTTGAAATTTTAAAAAATTTAGTAAAAAGCCTTCCGACCAGAGAAATATGGTTAAAAAAAAAGCGTCAACATCACATATACGAACAGGGTTTCCAGATTACAGAAAACATGAAAAAATGGCGAATAAAAAAAATAAAAATTTAGAATACATACGTACAATAATCCCTCCAAATGATACAAAATCCGGTTTATGAATATCATCTGAAGACTTGTGAAGCATATCACATGCATCATGATGGAGAGTACGCAAAAAGAAAAGCTATATTTACCCAGGAGAAAAAAAAAGGCTTTGCATATGAAAAAGATCATAATGGGATCATATGCTCAATCAGGACAGATCCAAAAAGGGGAAAGGTTCAGAATTTCCAAAGCAAAATAGCTTCGGAAACGGGGAAAAAAATCAATTCCGGCGACGATCCACGACATAAAAAAACGTAAGACGAAGCCCAAGCTGGATTACAGCCTGGAGATTGGAAGAAACACCCGACATCGATCGATGATCTACAGGATGATCTTTCTTCTTTTTGCCCAAAAACAAAAAAAAAAATGAAAAATTTTTTACCTGGAAAGAAAGGGGCATGAAAAAGGGAGGTCCCGTTGTTTAGTGTCGGAAAAAGGAATGATCTCCCCTCTTCGTCGTTGCGAAAACAGAACCAGAAGAAACCCTAAGGGTGAGGAAGAGAGCCGAATTTAACGGGTCGAGTTAAACTCAACAATGTCGGATCCCGGCACGGCCACGAACACAGAGGTAGGCTGAATCGCCTGTGCTCAGTGCCCCTCTCTCTCTCTCGATCTCCCTCTCTACCTTTAACTTACCAGACTTTCCTTTTTATTATGAAAAACGTGGAGAGAAGAGAAGCTAAAGGTTGAGAGGGAGGGGGAGACATAATTAACTACACTAATCAGTTCTTTGTATTTCCTTAATCTTCACGTCATTTTATTTTTTTTTCCAACGGCAAACATTTTAATTATATTCGACATATTAATAATAATGACGTCATCACCGGAATAGAGTGGTTTAAACGTCTTATGATTAAGAGTTAATCAACTACTTAATTAATTGTGACAAATTATAATCACTGAAGAGTGTGTGTATATCTAAATTAAAAGAATAAAAAAAAAGAACCGAAGATAAGAAACTTTTTGGAAACCGAACCGAGGACAAAAGAAACTTCTTGGAAACAAGCCATCCCTCGTCTCGCTTCCGATCACGAGCCATCGTGCCCTTTCTGTTCGTTTTCGATCTCTCCCAATCTCCATCGTATCAGGTAGGCTGATTCTGTTTCCATCGATTCCATTTTTTCCGCTTTCTTGGTCTTTGAAACGGTTCAAATCGAGCACGAATTCTTCGATCTGTGCTGGCACTTTTATTGGCCTCTGATTCGCGTGATTTTCGCTTGTACCATATTTTCTCTCGTTTGCTCTGTGTTCTTGATGAGTTCAATTAGGTCTGAATCGCATCTTCTGTTGCCGCGTTTCAGGATCATCGGTTATAAATTCGCTTGTTTAGCGGGTTGATTTTGCGCTGGAAATTCGTTCTAGGCCTTATGAATTCCGTCGATGGTTTATTCTACCCGCTGTTCACTTTAGGTGTACAGACAACTGAAAGATGATACTGCTAGGGTTTATGCATACCAGATCAATTAACGTTACTCCGATTGGGATGTCAGACTTAATTTTGCCTGGTGTTCATGTGGTTTTCGTTTGTCGAGATGTGGTTGTCAGCTTTATATCTGCATTCAGATGATTTTCGATGCTTGAAATTGTCAATAGGGTTTAGGAATGCCTATTGATAGGTCTGTTTTGTGGTAAGGGCTCCTCATTTGTTGAATTCAAATGGCATCTAGACGAAATGCACGATACACACAGCTTCCGGGTGATGAAGATGAAGATGGATTTGCCAATGGTGGTGGAAGGAGAACTTTTGATCCCAGATTTGATTATATGCCAAAAGCGCTTAATAGAGTGCCATGGAAATCCATAGCACTAGCAGTGTTTCTTCTACTCCTCGGTTGCTTGCTTCTCTTCCTTGCATTTTTCATCTTTACTGGTCACATGGAAGGAGACAGCTCGCAGGGTTATGCACTCCTTGTCCTTGGAGTCCTCACTTTCCTCCCTGGTATGTGTTAGAGATTTCGCTAGTTGTTTTCTTTTGGTATTTTCATCTTGTTTCTCTCGCTATCCATTATTAAATAATTATTATACTTGATTTTTTAGGTTATGACTTTAAGGTTGGTTGTGTATCTTGAGATTGAAGGTGTTAAATCAATTAGCATAATAAACATTCGTTTTCCTACATTTATTTGTTACAGAAGTTCTTTTGTTTTTCTGTTTAGTGCGATACCATTCCACTAGGATATCATTGTTTGGTGCATATTAGAATGCACAGAAATGTATACTTGTAGAATGTTGTGTATTTTGCAATTTAAATCTGGTGAGGTAAAGGAAATGTTGTTCACATGTGTTGGCCATTGGGATCATAAGGTGATTTCCTTCATTGGAAACCATTTTCTGACTGAGAGTTCTTAACTAGTGATTCAATCAAGTTCTAGTAGAAAAAGGGTGATTGTTAAGACACGTATTAAGAATTGGTTGAAGCTCTGAATCCGACTTTTAAGTTTCTAGTTTCTATCTTTGTTGCTTGCTTTCTTCATGTGTTCATCTGAGAAGTTTTTTTTTTCGGGGTGTAGGCTTCTACGAAACCCGGATTGCTTACTATTCATGGAGGGGTGCCGAAGGCTATAATTTTGCTGCCATTCCAGGTTACTGAAAAACTCGAACACAGCCATGATATTTTCTTGTTTCCCACTTTCCCGGAGTTGGAGAATTCAAGGAAAATCTGTGCATAGAAAGTTGGTTTTGTTGTTGATAAGTGAGTAATGGGGAATGTAGTTCAGGTTTGAAGACTAATCATCATCACCCAGATGCTCTTTTGTATACTTGAAGAATCTGAGATCTGGCTTTGTTAGTTGAGATGGATTCTTTTTAGATCTCAAGATTGTGTGTGTGTGTTTGTCTGTGTGTTTTCTGTTGATCCAAATTTTGATTTTTGTACCCTTATTTTGTTACATGTGTTATGTGCTGTTAAATCCTCCTCTTATATGTCTGTATGGTATCTTAATGTTAAATACCCGAATTTTGGATATTCTAATGAATCAGATATACTCAAATTTAGGATATTGAATAAGTTTTCACCTTCACATAAATTATACGACTCCAGTGGTGCCGGATTCGTTCTCCTCTACTCTCGTGGGTTTTTACAGTTTTTATAACGGTAATATTATTATTATTTTAGTTTTATATTGAATTCTGTTTGATTTAATTTAATTTTTTATTAATAAAAATATTTCTTTTTTATAAAAATATTCAGTTTTTCAATTAGTCTGGTCGGTTATATACTATTTGATTAAAATGAGTTTATTTATTTGATTATTGACTAAATAAATCGTCTCTAACTTTTTTCTCTTTGATATACTAATATTCCGTATAAATCATATACCCAGTTTGGTTTTCCTTATTTGTTTTTTCAATAATAATAATAATAATAATACCCTTGCAAAAGTACAAAAATAGATCGTCGAACAAACATCAAACGTATCAGGGAAACATGGTGGGGAGGAATAAATAAAAGAAAAGAAAAAGAGAGGGGGAGAGAGCGATCTCCGTTCTCCGTTCTCCGGTCTACCCCGATCCCGAGCTCTCCTGGAGGATCCGCCAAATTTGCTGGTCCTTTGAGCCTCTGCCAACAGTCTCTCTGCCGTGATCTCCAACCAGGTACACTGATCTTTGTCTCGATCCACGTTCTCCGCCGCCTTCCCGTTTCCAAGCAGTCTAAATCGGGCTGGGATTTCGTTAGGCGCTTAACTGAATTTTGATTAGCTCACGAGACCCGTATTCTTTGCTGGTTTGAGATTTCTTTCGGATTGCTTCCGTTCCTAGTGAGCTCAGTTAGATCTGAATTTCGTGTTCTTTTTTTTTTTTTTTGCTTTGGTCCCATTTCTGCTTTAAAAGTAACCAAATTTTTGCGGAATTTGTGTCCCATGGTGAAGTTTCAATTACTGGAACTGTAAAATTTGTGATTGGAAGAGTTGATTTTCGAGATCAGCGCTGCATTTGTTTTTGAATTATGTTAAGGTTTAGGAAATCAGATATTGAGCGCCGGAGAGAGAAACTTGTAGAGTTCAGTGGATGGAGACTTGTGGTTCTGTGTCTGAAAAACCAAACTCTTTCATTGACGGATACTGTGGAAGTTTGTTCCTCTGACAGGATTGATTTTCTTGAATGTTATCCGTGTCATTTGGTGGAGCAAAATTATGATTCTTTTGAGTTTTTACAGATCTTTGTTTATTATGTAATCTAAGATATAAATGTTGGACATGTTGGTTTGTTGAGGCTTCTGCTTTGCTTGTTGACATTTTCTGTCAAGGGTTCGTAAGCTGTTTCTGTAATTTTTGTTTATTTTTGTCTAAGTATGTAGGTTTACATAAATTTGCAGGCTGCATGATTCATGTGTGATTTTGTTCTGGAGCCAAGAGCTTGGGATGACTATGGGGCATTTAAGTTCTCCCTCAGGAAGCAACCCATTCAAGTATTGTCACTCCAAATCTTCGAAAGGTGCCCTGGCATCCACGATCAATTCCGAAATCAGTGCAGTGCTGGCTGTGATGCGGAGAAATGTACGGTGGGGTGTCCGCTATATCCCAGATGATGACCAGTTAGAACATTCTCTTGTCCATTCTTTGAAAGAATTGCGTAAGCAGATTTTTTCTTGGCAAAGCAATTGGCAAAGTGTTGACCCTAAATTGTATATCCAGCCATTTTTGGATGTTATACGGTCCGATGAAACTGGGGCTCCAATTACTGGTGTCGCTTTGTCATCTGTCTACAAGATCTTAACCCTCGACATTCTTACCCTTGACACTGTAAATGTGGAAGAGGCAATACATCTGATAGTTGATGCCGTAAAGAGCTGCCGTTTTGAGGTAACTGATCCAGCCTCAGAGGAAGTGGTTCTAATGAAGATACTTCAGGTTCTTCTGGCTTGCGTGAAAAGTAAGGCATCTTTTCGGTTGAGTAATCTTGATGTTTGCACCATTGTCAACACATGTTTGCGTGTTGTTCATCAATCAAGCTCCAAAAGTGAATTGTTGCAGCGTATAGCACGTCACACGATGCATGAACTGGTTAGATGCATCTTCTCGCAGCTGTCCTATATCAGCCCATCAGAGCATTCATTGGCTAATGGAAGCAGATCACATGTTGGGGATACGGTAAATTATTTTATTGGTTCCTATTAACCTTTTGGTGATATGTAGGATTCATTCATCTCCTATAGGTAGAGTGTTTGAACTCTTCCTGACGCTAGCTGTTCTCCGAACTTTTCTATACCAATATGGTGGAAGTTTATGATCAAAAGGACATAAAATCTAGCTCACCAAGCTACACAGTTTCTGACACCACTTATTTTACTAACTCAGCGATATCATTTTGCGCGCTGCATAGCAGGAAATTTTATTTTCTTAAAGTTTATGCACTTGACCCAAGTGTTCAAGTTTTAAGCTGGATTGCATTTGTCAAACTAGTAGATACTAACCTTAGTCTACTTTTTGCACGCAAAGTTCTGAAACTTTTCCTTTTTTTTTCTGTTTAGGTGGGAACAGTGGACTGGGATCAGAATTCTCTAGATAAACAGGTAGAAAATGGAAATATTGGTAGTGAATCTGATACTCCGAGCGCTACTAAAAATTCTTCAAGTGCTGTATCGGAAATTCCAGAAACAGGACTGAGGAACGGTGAAAGGAGCACTGAGGTAAACGATTCCGTGAATGTAGATGAAAACGGTGAAAATGCAATGATGGAGCCATTTGGTATCCCGTGCATGGTAGAGATATTTCATTTCTTGTGTTCTCTGTTGAACATCAGAGAGAACAATGAAGTCAGCTCCAGATCTAATCCTATAGCATTTGATGAAGACGTCCCTCTTTTTGCTCTGGGTTTAATAAATTCTGCTATAGAACTAGGAGGATCTTCATTCCGTGAACACCCAAAGTTGTTGAGACTGATCCAGGATGAACTATTCTGTAACCTGATGCAGTTTGGTTTATCAATGAGTCCTCTGATTCTTTCTACCGTTTGCAGCATCTTTCTGAATCTCTATTTGAATCTGCGCACTGAGCTTAAGGTACAGCTTGAAGCTTTCTTTTCATACGTTCTTCTGAGGATTGCACAGAACAAATATGGGTCTTCGTACCAACAACAGGAGGTTGCCATGGAGGCCCTGGTTGATCTTTGCGGACAGCGTGCATTTATGGCTGAAATGTATGCTAATTTTGACTGTGATATAACCTGCATTAACGTGTTCGAGGACGTCACAAATCTGTTATCCAAGAATGCTTTCCCAGTCAATGGGCCTTTATCTGCTATGCATATACTTGCCTTGGATGGTTTAATTTCCATGGTTCAGGGAATGGCTGAGAGGGTAGGTGAGGAATTATTGCCTGCTGTGGATGCTTCTACATATCAAGAGGCATATGAAGCGTTTTGGACGGTAAGATGCGCGAACTATGGAGATCCCAACTTTTGGGTTCCGTTTGTCCGTAAGACCAAACACGTAAAGAAAAGGTTGATGGTTGGAGCTGATCATTTCAACCGTGATCCTAAAAAGGGCTTACAATTTCTCCAAGGGATGCACTTGTTTCCTGAGATCCTTGACCCAGAGAGTGTGGCAGCTTTCTTTAGGTATACATGTGGTTTAGATAAGAACCTCATAGGAGATTTTCTGGGAAATCACGACCCATTCTGTGTTCAGGTGCTTCATGAATTTGCAAAAACGTTTGACTTCCGCCACATGAACCTAGACACAGCCCTCCGTCTTTTCTTGGGTACTTTCAGGTTGCCTGGTGAGTCACAGAAGATACAGAGGGTCCTAGAGGCTTTTTCTGAAAGATACTATGAGCAAGGGAACGATGAGCGAGGTGTTCGAAGGATATGAGCGTCAATACTGCGAGCTCTCTGCAAATCTCTCAAAGAAGTGTACCTCAGCTATTGCTCTTGATGGAGGTATATTGACATCTTGAATCTTTTCTGGAGTATGATTCCTTTTTTAGGATTTTAGCCTTAAGGATTCCTTGAAAATCGACGTGCCGTTCGAGTTGCTTCGAGACAATTTACTGATTTTAGCTTGTAAAAAGTTAGATTGTTTTCGGTTTTGTGTTTGATGCAGTGGTGCTGAACACGGATCAACACAACGTGCAGGTCAAGAAAAAGATGACTGAATCTGATTTCATCCGTAACAATCGGTGCATCAATGGGGGAGAAGACCTTCCAAAAGAATACTTGTCCGAGCTTTATCATTCCATCTGTGAGAATGAAATTTTGATGATCCCGGATCAGGAAACTGGCTTCTCAATAATGACAGCCAGCCAGTGGATTAGTGTGATCTACAAGTCAAGAGAAACCAGTCCATATATCATCTGTGATGCCTCGGCACATCTGGACCGAGACATGTTCTCGATCCTGTCCGGTCCCACTGTAGCAGCTGCATCAGTAGTTTTCGATCAAGCAGAGCAAGAGGGTGTTTTACAGAGATGTGTTGATGGGTTCTTGGCCATTGCTAAACTTTCAGCATATTATCATTTAGATAGTGTTCTGAACGATCTGGTCGTGTCTCTGAGCAAATTCACGCCCCTCTTGGCGCCTTTATCCGAGGATGAAACTGTTCTTGCTCTAGTGGATTATGCAAGAACACGAATGGCAACTGCAGCAGTTTTCTCGATTGCACATAAATACGGTGACTATATCCGTTCTGGCTGGAAAAGTGTACTGGAATGCGTCTTAAGCTTACAGAAACTCAAGCTTTTACCAGCTCATATGGCCAGTGATGCGACCGAGGATACCAAGCCGTCATCTAGTAACCCAGAGCAGGAAAGACCTTCAACAATGCCCTTACCGGTTATGCAGGTTCATTCCTCTTCCACACCTCGTAGATCATCTAGTCTAATTGGTCGGTTTAGCCAACTTTTGTATTTTGATACGGAGGAAACAAAGCCACAGCCAACCGAGGAAGAGCTGGCAGCTCATAAGCAAGCTCGTGAGATAGTGAAAGATTTTCACATCGATAGCATATTCTCTGAGAGCAAATTCCTCCAAGCCGAGTCTTTGCAACAGCTTGTGAACCCCCTCATAACCGCAGCGGAGAAAGACGGAGACAGTGCAGTCTTCTGCTTAGAGCTACTGATTACAATCACGCTGAATAACCGAGACAGGATTCTACTGATATGGCAAGCTGTTTACGAGTACATTGCAAATGTTGTTCAATCAACTTCAGTTCCATCCACGCTCGTGGAAAAAGCTGTATTTGGTCTCTTGAAGATATGCCAAAGATTATTGCCTTACAAGGAGAACCTCACGGATGAACTTCTCAAGTCACTTCAGCTCATCCTGAAGCTCAACGCCCGAGTAGCTGATGCATATTGTGAAACCATCACACGAGAAGTCGCTCATCTCGTAAAAGCAAACGCAACCCACATCAGATCACATATCGGGTGGCGCACAATCATATCTCTCCTATCCATCACAGCCCGGCATCCAGAAGCTTCCGAGTCTGGATTCGAAGCCCTTGTGTTTATAATGTCGGAAGGGGCTCACCTTTTACCGTCAAACTATATTCTCTGTTTGGACGCAGCAAGACAGTTTGCTGAGTCCCGAGTTGGCGAAATTTCTCGGTCTATCTCAGCCATTGACTTAATGGCAAACTCTGTGTTCTGTCTCGGAAAATGGTCTCGCGAGGCTAAAAACTCGGTCGGAGAGGATGCGGCCGAGAAACTAAATCAAGACATCGGCGAGATGTGGATAAGACTTGTGAACAGCCTCAAAAGGGTATGTCTGGATCAACGAGACGAAGTGAGAAACCATTCCATCTTAATGGTTCAGAGATCGGTAGCCGGAGCAGACGGGTTCCCATTACCGCCGGATCTTTGGTTCCGGTGCTTCGACTCGGTCATCTTCCCATTACTCGACGAACTCCTCGAAATTTCCCGAGAGAAGGCCGGAAAAACCTTTGGGAAATCAGCAGAGGAAACACTCGTTCTCGCCACAAAGCTCATGTCAAAGGCGTTCCTACAGTCTCTCGAGTACCTCTGGAAGCAACCCTCCTTCTGCAAACTCTGGCTCGGGGTCCTGATCCGTCTCGAGACCTACATGTCGGCGAAATTCCGAGGAAAACGGAGCGAGAAGATCCACGAACTCATCCCGGAGCTCCTCAAGAACACGTTGCTGGTCATGAAGACATCGGGAATTCTCTTGCCAGGTGAAGACGTTGGCAGTGACAGCTTCTGGCAACTGACATGGCTCCATGTAAAGAAGACCTGTCCTTCACTTTTCTCCGAAATTTTCCCTCAGGACGAAATCGAGCATTTGCAGAGACAAAATGCCAAGGCCGGAGAAGTTCTGTTACCGGAAAACGGGACTCCTGCCTGAAGACTGAAGAAGCTCGGAAGATTTGGTCGGAATTTTTCTATCTTATTTGTTTCTACGACTTGAAGGAAGAGAGAAAGAGAAAAAGGTTTATGGCAGTACAGTAATATACAGGAGGATCAGAAAAGAGGAACACTGAGTTACTATATTGAATTTTTTGCAGTATAGCTTAAAACTTTTACCCCACAAATTCGTTAATTTTCTGGTATGAAAATGTTGCCATCTTTGTTGTGTTTTTATTATTATTATTATTATTATTATTATTATTATTATTATTATTATTATTATTATTATTATTATTATTATTATTATTATTATTATTATTATTATTATTATTATTATTATTATTATTATTATTATTATTATTATTATTATTATTATTATTATTATTATTATTATTATTATTATTATTATTATTATGTGTGTAGATCAAATTAGGAGGTTTTTCATATAAAAATGTTATTTGTCAAGCATTCTACTACTTCTAGTGTGTTCATAACAATGTATTCAGGTGAAAAATCGAACCGATTTTAACTGTCATCTTATAAACATCAAATGATTATAATTTTAATAATCAAAAAATAAAAGTGAATGTAAATTTAAAATGAAAATAGTCAAATTTTATTTTTTTATCATTTTCAACCAAAGATAAATCAAATTCAATATAAAAATTAAATATTATAGTTTTTCTAAAAATAAATTAATCAAGTATAATCAAATCAAAATTTGAAATTCGAAATGATTATCTTGATATTTTTTTTGGGACAAACTTAAAAATAACCTTAAACTTTCACACTTACACAAAAAAACCTTCTATTTAAAATTACTTATAAATTGTTTAAAATCAAATTTTCACTTTAAATTTGTTATAAAAAATTATCAACTATCAATTTTAATAAAAACAATTATCATCTATCTAAATTACTCAAAAAAATAATAATGTTTTACATTTATTATAAAAATCTATAAAATTTAAATAGAAAATATATAGAAATAATTCTAGAAGTACAAGAAAAATATAACATTTCAATATTTAACATTTATATAAATATTATAAACATCAATCTATATATAATAATATACAAATATTATACTTAAAATTGAGTATATTTTATTGTTGTCAATATTATATTTAAAATTTTATCATATATTAATATTTTAAAGGTTGTAAATTGTGTATATTTTATTGGTTGTAAATATAAGAGATAATATATATATATATATATATATATTTTCTAAAATAAAATAAAAATATGGTAATTTTTACATGTAATATTGTAAATTGAGTATATTTTATTTGCTATAGATTTTTATATTTAGAATGAAATATTTTTTATAACTTCAAATCATTGATGATTTTGTTTTATTGAATTATTATAGAAATCTATGAAAAAAAAATTAATTGTTACAAAAAATCAAATTAATAGTTTGGAACTATCGAAATACTAAAATATTACAATATGATAAATTTAAATAAATATTATATTTTTATTGTGATTTTTAGGATTATATAAATTATATATGTTTTCTGTCCAAATTTAATAGATTTTTATAATTAATGTAAAACATTATATGTTTTGAGTAATTTAGATAAATAATAATTTTTTTCTTAAAATTAATTATTGATGTTTTTTTATAACAAATTTAAAATGGAAGATTAGTTTTAAATAATTTATATAGTTGATGATCTTTTTTATTCCAAACTAATAGTTGATGGTTTTTTATAATTAATTTTAAATAAAGTTTTTTTTGGGTGTAGTTGTAATAGTTGGAGGTTTTTTTTAGCTTTATCATTTTTTTAAAATTGATATTATCGTAAAAATAATATTCTTTATAGTATAGGGTTTTTTAAGTGATGATTTTACATAATATGGAATTTTTCATTTAGGTTTTAATAATTGTCGAAATTCATTTTCCCTAATTGAATCCCTTGGGGAAAAGTAAAGGAGAGAAAGTGTCAACAGCTAATACAACCGAAGCAACCGTGTGTCTAAATTTCCCTAACGGAATCACCATTTCCCATCGATTTCTTCATTATCGTCATCATCATCCTGTTCCAGAATTCTCTTCATCCTCTCTCCGGCGATCCAATCCAGGTTGCCGCGTACCTCTCCGATTCTCCGATCATCTCAGGTACCGTCGATCTTCGTCTTTTCTCTTTTTTGCTTCCAGTTTTCGATATCTTTGTCGGAATCTCCCTTTCCAGATTCAGCGGTGAACTCTTTCTTTTCCCCGATTTCCTGGCGCCCCATTGATTCTTTGTCTTTCTTCCTTCCGATCTCTGAATTTTGCTCATTTTCGGTTCCCATTTCCGATGTCTTTTTTCTTTGTGATAGATCTGTCATTGTTCATGCGATTTTCCTGTATTACGATTTAGGTTAGAATCGATGATATGGAGGGATTTTGGATTGTTTTCTCACATTAGCATGGATGAAAATGGTTTTCCCTTCTTTTGGTAATGCAAAGAGAATTTGGGGTTTGTCGCCTTTTTGATTAATCTGGAATGTGGATGAGATTTTAAATTTGATTTAGCTTGGGATAGTGATCTTAGGTACGGCTTAAGCTGTCTCAGCAGAATTTGGACAAAGCCTTTTCTGGGAACGATGAGCGAGGTGTTCGAAGGATATGAGCGTCAATACTGCGAGCTCTCTGCAAATCTCTCAAAGAAGTGTACCTCAGCTATTGCTCTTGATGGAGGTATATTGACATCTTGAATCTTTTCTGGAGTATGATTCCTTTTTTAGGATTTTAGCCTTAAGGATTCCTTGAAAATCGACGTGCCGTTCGAGTTGCTTCGAGACAATTTACTGATTTTAGCTTGTAAAAAGTTAGATTGTTTTCGGTTTTGTGTTTGATGCAGTGGTGCTTCTTTAGACCCATGAGTGCTGGGAATTTTTTCTGTTTGCTTCATTTGCAAGGATATAGTTTCTCACTTTGTTTTCTTACCTTAGGTTGTGAATCACTCAGAAATTAGGGTATTGATTGGAATAAATCATATCCATCAGTGTCTATTAGTGCCATGATTTCTCTTATTTTGTAGGATTATGTTCTGATATTTAAAACTTGGGATTTAAGGTGGTGTTGTTGTTATGTTCTGATATTTGCTTGCCTTTACTAACATAACATTGATGAGACCTTGTTGATTTGCAGAACAAAAGAAGCAGAAGCTATCCGAAATAAAATCAGGCCTGGAGGATGCAGAAGGATTGGTATGTGATATCCATAGCTCAGATGATGATTTTTCCTGTCTTGCCATTTGCCTTTGATGGTGGCTGTACCGCTTGTTCCAGATCAGGAAAATGGACCTAGAGGCTAGAAGCCTGCCACCCAATGTCAAGTCAAACCTTCTTGTCAAGTTGAGGGAATACAAATCTGATCTGAACAATCTCAAAAGTGAAGTGAAGAGAATTACGTCTGGAAACTTGAATGCAGCTGCCCGGGATGAGTTGCTGGAAGCTGGAATGGCTGACACAATGACGGTATGTAAGAACATTAATTTCTTTTCCTTTTCTATTTCCCCAATTCCAATTGTGATAGTAAAAGATCATCTTACAACTATGGCTGATATGCATGGGCTAGGCTTCGGCTGATCAAAGATCAAGATTGATGATGTCAACGGAGCGATTGGGTCGTACCACTGACAGAGTCAAGGATAGTCGAAGAACCATGCTGGAAACTGAAGAACTTGGTGTTTCAATCCTTCAAGACTTGCACTCTCAAAGACAGTCTCTTTTACACGCCCACAACACGGTATTTCTCCGCACACGACTTTTTCTAATTCCATTCATGATTTGCCCCTGGTACAAAACCACTCGATTAGTTGCTTCATTTTAGCTCTTAACCAGAAAAAAAAATCAACTGGCTATGGAAAATATTATCCATCCTAGAGATCAAGGTTGAAAGTTGATAGAATTGTCCAGTTTGATTATGGTAGTTAATGAACCATAAAAGGATTCATAAGAAATAAACAAGAGAATAGGGAAAAAAGTGACCAAAAATCCAGTGAAGTTGTGCCTAAGTCATTTTTTAACCTTGAAGTTTTGTCCTTTATGAAACCACCATCCCTGAAATTTTACATGTCATGAACATAAATCCACAGATGGTGGTGTATGATGACATGAAATTGTTGAGCATTGTCTTGATATAGGAAATGGTCATATTTTTGTAGTTAAGATCTGTGACCTTAATGGTAAGGCGGGAATCTTGAACATTTGCTTTTCAAGAGTTCCCAGCACTTAGGGGCTGGATTCATCAACTGCATCTGAATGATAGGAATTTGTGCTTTAACTGAGATTAGACTTGAATGCAACAGCTTCATGGAGTGGACGAGAACATAGGGAAGAGCAAGAAAATATTGACGGGAATGACGAGGAGGATGAACAGGAACAAATGGACAATCGGAGCCATCATCACTGTCCTTGTTATTGCCATCATCATCATCTTGTACTTCAAAATCACCAAGTAAGTAAAAGCCTCCCTCTCTTTGATGAATTTAATTCCCAGTGAAAATCTCTGAAACTGAAGAAACCCATGTTGGTTTTGTTGGATCTATCTTATCCTTTTGTATTGGAAGTGTGAAGTGTTGTGTCCTGTCTGAAAGTTGTGTAAGTGGCAAAAATATCTTCTGTATTCTTTCAACTCTGCTGTTCTAAGCAAAGCAACACTAGTGATTTTGCTTTGCATTTTTTTTTTTTTTAATTCGGAAGTTCACCGGATTTTTGCGTATTTACCTCAATTAAATTGTACATACTGCCCCAACGATTACTCGATAAGACAAATACAGTCCAACCCCTTTTAACCAGCTACAACATTATACAAAACTTTAATAGTTTTGAGATTTGATCATGAGCTTACACTTTGCTATTCAAGATTCAGATATCATTAGGAAAAATTGTTTCAACCCTTTTTTTTAATTAAACCAGACGAGCAAGCTGCCATGACGGTGACTTATATATGGACAACCACAAAAAAATATATATTTATTTAACAGAAGAAAAAAAAAGAAGAGAATAGATTTAATTATTAAAAAAAGAGAGAGAAAAGATCTGACGAGATGAATGTAGAGAAGCAAAAATGGACCCAAACCCATTGGGCCTAATTAATGGGCCATTTGACGGATTGATTTTCTGCGTGAACTAATGCTTTCAATAAAACAAATTAAAAAAAGCGTTACGCGCCACGTGGATTTTTCATTTACAATGATTGACTTTGTTCATTTCGAGTAAATCAGAAAAGTGACCGCTAATCACGTGCAACCACGTGGCATTGCGAGGCTTCCCGCGTAGTGGTCGGCATGTAAACAGCAATCAATGTGGGGTCCATATAATCAGACGAAGCAGAACCATCATCTTATCAAAACGCAGCGTTTTCCTCTTCTTCCGACGACTACCTATTTAAATTCCTTTCGTCCGATTTGCTATCTCACTGGAAAAAAAAAAAAGCAGACCCGGAAAAAAAAAACTTCGAAGCGATGCCGTACTACACGAGAGATGAGAACGAAGTGGACGACTTCGATGAGTTCGACCCGACGCCGTACGACGGAGGCTACAAGCAGCACGAGGTCTACGGTCGCCCGATCCCGCCGTCCGACGAGACCTGTCACCCGCTCTCGTCGCCGTCTGATGAATCCTTCGAGTACGAGAGACCGGAGTTCACCTCCTACCATGAGCCCTCTGCTTACGCTGACGAGGCTCTCCAGACCGAGTACAGCAGCTACGCCCGTCCCAAGCCCCGACCTGGGTTCCGACCCGGAAGCAGCGGAGGCGGTCATGTTGAAGGTGAGTATGGTGGAAGGCCTCAACCGGCTTATGGATCTGGGCCAGGATCCGATTTTGGATCTGGGTATGGGAAACCGGATTATGAGGGATCCGGATCGGAATTCGGATCTGGGTATGGCCGGAAACCTGAGTCGGAGTATGGATCCGGTGGCTATGGTGGGAGAACGGAGACGGAGTATGGTCGGAGACCTGAATCGGAGTACGGGTCCGGTGGCGGTGGGTATGGTGGAAGAACTGAGATCGAGTACGGTCGGCGGCCTGAATCGGAGTACGGATCTGGGCACGGTGGAAGAACTGAGACCGAGTACGGCCGACAATCTGAATCGGGGTTCGGATCCGGCTGTGGTGGAAGAACCGAGACCGAGCATGGATCCGGGTATGGCAAGAAGCCGGAGTCCGAGTATGGATCCGGGTATGGTCAGCGGACCGAGTCAGAGTATGGATCCGGGTATGGCAAGAAGCCTGAGTCCGAGTACGGATCTGGGTACGGCGGCCGCACCGAGTCAGAGTATGGATCTGGGTATGGCAAGAAGCCGGAGTCCGAGTACGGATCCGGATATGGTGGCCGAACCGAGTCCGAGTATGGATCTGGTTATGAAAGGAAACCGAGCTATGGAGAGGGAGAGAGGACGGAGTACGGAAGTAGGCCGAGCTATGGAAGGCACGAGGAACAGGAGGAAGGTTACAAGAAGCCTAGCTATGGCAGTCGCAATGACGACGATGAGGAAGGTTACAGAAAGCCCAGCTATGGCCGCCGCAATGATGATGATAATGAAGACGATGATGCTCGCGAGCAGCGCAGGCACCGTCATGGTGATGACGAGGAAGGGAGCTATGGCCGCAAGAAACATGTAAGTTACTCAGTTTTACCAATGTTTTTCCGCAGTTTACAATTTGGATCAAAGTCGCATTGAAGTTAGGCTTGGTTGATTTGTTTGAACCTTTGAATGATCGAAACGTAGAGTAGTTATCATAAGTTTGGGATGAGCTCATATATGTTTGTTGAACAAAAGTTTAGATCTTTGACAATGTTTCTTATCAATGAAATTGTGGTGAAATCCCTATGCGGGTCGCCGAGTGAATTGAATTGCGTTTGGACAATACACGACGTTACCCATCTCTTATTTGATCGTGCTTAAATGGAAAGATAATCTGAGCCTTCCTGCTTTTGCTTGACGACGAATGATGAATGATGATCTCTGTGTTAATGGAGATGATCTTTGTGTGGCATTTGCAGGGTGACAATAACTCTGATGATGATGATGATGATGAGAAGAAGAAGCATCGCTACAAGCATCATCACCACAGGAACTACGATGATGAGTAAACAAAGATACAATCTTCCCTTTGCGAGGTGCCATACCAAATAAAAGAGCCTCTGTTGAGTTTGTTGTCTTTACAAAGTCGTTAAAAGACTTTGGCCTCTGCATTTCCGCTGCTGTTACAAATAAGACCCATCAGTTGGTTTGTTTGGGTCGTAGAGTGTGTGTGTGCTTTCCCTTTTGTATTCCCTCCCTCTTTGTGTTGTATTATTATCATGGGAGCTTTCTACTTGAATTTACTTGAAGTCACGAAACTGTGTTGTGTTTGTGTTCATTCTTTCTAGTACCTTTGTCTTTTCTCTCTCTGTCCGGAACAGAACAGAGAATTTGGAATCCCGAACCACGGCGTCAAACTGACTCAAGCTGAGTGCCGGATGGACCACGGGAATGGCTCCAGCTGCTTCGTTTGATCGGCCGATTCGGATATCCGTTGATATTTGTTCGGGAAATGGCGTAATCCTAATCCGAATTCCACCTGACATATATATATGTATATAACCAAACAGAGGGAAAAAATTACAATAACACCCAGAAAGCGAGCTGGTAGTTTCTCAAAACTCAAGATTGCTAACCGTTGGATTAACAAAATAAACTAAACCGGAGAAAACAAGAGAACCGGCCGGTTAAGAGAGAAATTGTTCAGAGAAGCTTCTTCCTTTGCAAGAATGACTTGAGATGCCACAGCTGCAAACCGGCCACTGACAACGTAACCAAAATAGACAATAAACTCAAAACCGCCATTCTCGAATTCGTCGACCGGTTTAACTGCTGCATTTCCCATTCCCTTCAAATAAACAATATAATAATAAGATAAAGCAATGTTATAATATATCACCAAAAAACGTTACTAATTATTATGAGAAATATATGTAAACGCATATGTATATTTTACCTCTCCCGGAGATAAAAGATTTCATCATGTATAGCTTTGATCGTATCTAGCAATTTCCTTAGCTCCACTTCCATCATCTATTCATAAAACCATATTCCTCTTGCATCATGACTATATACGTATATATGATGTGTGTATTTATTGTAACGTATATAGATCAAGAGATATGGTATATACTTACATTGATCTTGCCGTTCTTGGCGATCTTGGTCCAATCTTTGGCGGCAAAACCACTCTTCCACTCGAAATCGACGGAGAGTTTCACCGGAGGCTGAAAACCGGCGACCACGAAGCACGTGATGTAATTTCCGGATTCATCCGCCGTGAACGCGAAATTTCCCGATTCGACACGATCGCTATGGTGATGGTTTAACCCTTTGGGCGACGTCACCTTGATAAAAGTATGCATAGTATCATATATGCATGCATGAATTAATTCATGATCATGTTGTCTGATTTTGAAACGCTATCTTTACAATGCATTCGACGTACATACGCACACAATGTACATAAAACATAGACAAAGCGTGTGTATATATATTACTTACAGTGATGGAGAGTTTGTGGGAATCGGGCAAAGGAGAACCGTCGGCGGGGTTGACGATGCTGTAAGTTCCGACAGTCATCGCATTGGCTTTGATGTCTTCGGATATGCATTTGGTGTTTCCTGATTCCAGATCGAATCTCATTGATTCTACCAATCTCCATGGCATCATCATCATCACCATTAAGATCCCAACAAGATTCGATTTTGACGTCATCTTCGTACGAATCCGACATTCGGCGAACAAACCCATTTTTGTTTCTTAGTTTTGGATCCAACCAGAAAAACATTTTATTACAAATCTTGGAATCTGTCTAAGAATTTTAGATCAGCTTCCGGGTATAGAGGAGCGTGAGAATTACGGCAAAGAAGCTGAACCGGCCGGTTTGCTTTGGTATTCGGTAATTGGCTTACCAAAGAACCAAGCCTTTAGCTTAATTAGAGGCCAATATATACATAAATGTGTTTTACATGTCAGTTTCGTCATTACGAGTTCTACGAAGTACGAACGATTACTTATTTAACTTTATTGGACAACTGATAATATTAAATAATGTTGAAAAATAATCTTATTTTATTTTCATTGCAGCTTATTATTTTTCTAATTTATTTTTCAGTTTTGAAATTGTCAAAAATAAAATATAGTATCTAGGCAGAATCCCATCTAATCTTGGCACATGGGTTTGAATTCTTCAGTTTGATTTTTGTATTTAAAGAGTATTAGATAAAATAAAAATGTATCTCTTTCCTTTTTTTATTAGGGATGGACGTTTCAGAATTCGGTTTAAAATTTTAGTTGTTCAGCTCGGGAACGGGTTATTTAGTATTTTAAAATTTGTATCAAATTAGTATCGTATATTATTGGGTTCCGATTCCAGTATGGTTCAGTTTCAGTTTTTGTTAAAAAAAAATTAAGAAAATTTCGGTTTTTCGGAAATTTTGTAAAAATTCAGTTCGATTCGGTTTCGAAAAATTCGATTCTATAATAAATATACCGTTCGAGAATTTTGAATGGTACGATTAAAAAAAAATATCAAGATTTTCATGTGGATAAAGAACCGAACCGAAATACCCACTTCTTCTTCCTCATTAGGATACTCTCTCTTTTCTCTCATACAATCATTATTATTCTTCTGTTAACATTTTTTCTAATAAAATAATGATTTTTTGATATTTTGCATCATTTTTGTGTTTTAGATTTTGATTTTTTTTTACAAGAATCCTGTGGGGAGAATATATGAATGTTCAAATATTCAAAATTTGTTCTCATGTCAATTATCATGCAAGGAGTGAGGAAAATGACGGAATATCATTATGGATGTCCAAAAAATCTGTGATCAAAATAGTCGTAGATGAAAAAAAAAAGTTGGTTTGAATATCATCTTTTGTACGGTATCTGAAGATGTTCTCATGGAGATAGTAAAAAAAAAAGTTGGTGCGGAGAAAGCACGTCTACAGATTTTAAAAACCAATTCAAAACTCTATATATGAAGGAAAACGAGAATGTAACACTTAATAGAAATTTTTTACATTTTGTACTATATAAATTTTTTCAAGTTGTATCGATTGAAACACTTGCCCATTGTATGTAGAGTGACAAACTCGACAGAATAGATAGAAAGTAATCGTATAATGGATTATTTAACATATGATAATGATATTAGAGATAATTAATTCGACCGAAATTGCAATAAGGATAGTATATCAGTTTAATAAAAACGACCAAATGTAATGTTAACTCTAATGAAGGTAACTCTACCTTGAGATTGAGTGTTCGATTCCTGACTGGTGAAAAATGAGATAATTTCTGAGTTTATATGATCTATATACAAAGATTACTCTCAAACCGGAAGTTTACCTAGTCAGTGCATCTGAATGGTAGCAGCTAGGGATCCCCGTTATAAAAAAACCTCTAATAAAGGTCCTTTTGGCTAGAATTAGTCAGACTTTACATTAAGCAAAAACATGAATTGTCCAAAATTTAAGATTATCTTTTCTAGATTTTAAAAAGTTTTAAATAGGGGTGGGCGTTTCGGGAAACGGTTCGGGTTCGGGACGGAATAAATCGGTTCGGTTCTTTCGGTTTTACAAAAATAGATACCAATTGGGTTTTTTATTATATTCGGTTCGGTTCGATTTCGGTATCGGTTTGGGTCGGTTCCGGGTTTTATTAAAAAAATGATAGATTTCCTTTAAAAATATTCGGTTTTTCGGGATTTTTAAAGTTCGGTTCGGTTCGGTTCGGTTCCGAGAAAATTCGGTTCTCTGAAAATGGTACCGTTTGGGAAATAACAGCGGTTTTGGATCGGAAAAAATACCATTTTAATGGTTCGGTTTGGTCCGGTTCTGAAGAACCAAACCGAAACGCCTAGTCCTAGTTTTAAAAATTTTCATATTTTTTCCACATAGTACATTAAAATTTTCATGAGATTCAGAGTCTTGGCATAAAAAAAAATAAGGCTCGCATAAAAAAAGACCGTCTGTATATGATTAGATAAATTGTTTATTATATACAACAACTCTATATGTTGTTGACCGGTGTAATTGCAATCGTCGTGATTATAGACATTTACGACGTTTATTGGCGATTCAAATCGATTGATACAAAATGGTATAAAAACTGCTGTTGATAACGATTACAATTTAAAACGAATGGTTTACGGCGATTGTGATTTCGTTTAAATTATCAAAAAAATATCATTTTATTATATACAATACTAATCATTTTTAAAATATTTTTAGTTAATCTTTTACTATTATTTGATATCAAATAATTATTAAATTTATAAATAATTCATTATAAATTTTAAAATATAATTTTATTATCAACTTAATATATTTTCAAAAATAATTTTAATATTAAAAATATTTATTGGTAAAACCAAACAATATCAAAACATAATATCAAACAAAATTATTAGTATTTTTTATAATTTATATATGTATATCAATATATATATGTAGATATATATATATATATATATGCATATGTTTGTATGTGTCTATGTGTATATATATCTATGTGTGTATGCATAATGTATATGCATACCAACACCATGACTTTGACATGTACGCATATAACGATGTGCATGGAACATACACTCCATGCCATGCCTCGTATAAACATATATAGGTGCATGTATGATGTATCCACATATACACCACGTATATAGATGCACTATATTTGCATGGGATACGCGTCTGATAGAAAGGACAGACCTCATGCATGCATAGAACTATATATATACATACATACATAGCGTACGCTCCCACGTATCTCAGGGTGTTGAATCGATTACAAGAAAAGCGAATTCATACGCGTCTGAAAGAGCAAAACAAAAACGAAAAAACGAGAAACAAAAAACAAGAAAAAGAAACAGGGTCTCTCCCCTCCTCCATTCTCGGATATTTTCCTGGAAAAAAAATCGAAACTTTCCAGGAAAATAGACCCGGGAAAGATGAAGTTCGGGCGAGATTTTGAGGTTCAGATGATCCAGGAATGGCGCGAAGCCTACGTCGATTATCGCGCCCTCAAACTCATGCTCAAACAGATCCTCCGCTTCCGGCAACAACTCCCTGCTTTTCATCAACATCACCCTCCTCATCCTCCTCCTCCAGCTCCTCCGTCCTCCGCTCCCGGCGCCGGAAACAACCACGATGAAGCCGGAGGAGGCGCCGCCGTCAGCAGAGGGTTTACGAGGAGGATCTCTCTCTACCGCGCATTCAGCGGCCTTACCAACCGTGCCAAAGGGTCACCGAGGAAAAGAGACAAGCACAATAACCACCACCATTTTCATTTCTTCGATGAAGAAGAAGAGCAAGCGATTCTGATAAGCCAGGACGAGACGGCAAGCTATACGACGACGTTTCTGAGCTCGGCGGAGGAAGGCGGAGAGCTGGAGGTGATGTTTTTCCGGCGACTCGACGAAGAGTTCAACAAAGTCGTGAGATTTTACAAGCAGAAAATTGAGGAAGTTATGGAGGAAGCCGACGAGCTTAGCCGACAATTGAATGTTCTGATTGCTCTGAGAATCAAAGTGGAGAATCCAATCGCGGATCTTCCCGAAATTATTGGCTTTTACTCTCCCCCTGTTTCTCCAGAACATCACAGCTCTGGGGTTCCAGGTGAGTTTCAGAGAGATTCAGCTTCTGGGTTTCTGAAATTTCTTCACAATTAGCTCTATTTTTTGTTGAATAATGGATTAATGGTTCTGGGTTCCTGGAATTTCATTTGCTTTTCATAAAGCTCTCAGCTTCTTTTTTTTCTTTTTTGGGTAGAGCATCTTTTGAATCGGAGTGCTTTCTATAGATTTCCTGATTCAGGGTTTCGAAATTCGTTTGGATTCAATGCTTGGGTAGGCCAATTTTTTTAGTTTTTTTGCATAAAAGCATATTTTCAGAGGATTTAGCTTCTGGGTTTCTGAAAGTTCTTCACAATGAGCTTTATTTTTGGTTGAACAATGGATTAATGACTGCATTCTAATGGCGTTTCATCTGTGCTTGGACTTTAGTAGTAAGGATCATAAATGTGGAGCTCTGATTATGTCTCTGATGTAACTTTGCAGCGGTTTCACCAATGGAGACTATTCAAGAGGTTGAACAAGAGAACTCGGTCCATGGCAATCGAAACAAGGCCTTCATACCGGCTCCATTAGAAGTGTTGGATCGTGTAAAGATCAAAATCGAACCAGAAACTCCATTGACGACGCTTAAATGCATGATTTCGAGCCTCAAGCCCGATCAAACCTTCAGCAAATCCGAGCTGAAACGAGCCGAGGAGCTTATGTCCCGAGCCTTTGTCGAGTTTTACCAGAAGCTGAGGTTTCTGAAGAGTTACTGGTGAGAATGCTCCATGAAATATTCTTCTTCTTCGTCTTCTTCCTCCTCCTCTGGTTCATTAAAACCTTTTATTATCATCTCTGTTTCTGTTCAGCTTCTTGAATCAGATGGCATTCTCAAAGATACTGAAGAAGTATGACAAGGTTGGTAAATTCACTTAATGATCTGTTCTATTGTACTTTTCAATCTTCATTCCGTATCTACGTATATATTCGTGTGTGTATACATGTATTGCAGATTACTTCCAGAAATGCATCGAAGCCTTATTTACATACGGTCGATAACTCGTATCTGGGCACCTCCGAAGAGGTTAATATAAGGAAGAAAATCCTTGCAGTATATCTTTCGTGTTTTCGAGTTCAGGCTCCTGCTCTCTAAAAGTAATATATGGAAATATGTTTTTACTGCATTCGCCATTTCAGGTGTCGAGTCTCATGTCTCGGGTGGAAGCTACGTTTATTAAGCATTTCGCCCATGGAAATCACCGGGAAGGAATGCGGAGTCTAAGGCCGAAAGCAAAGAGGGAAAAACACAGAATCACTTACATTCTTGGTACTTTGTTTAGTTAAGCTAACTCCACACATTTTCGGTTATAAAACCCGAAAGAAGGAACGAATTTTGGTTTAGGGTTTAGGGGTTTGAGAAAGTTCCTCTATTTGTATCTGCAGGATTCTTGTCGGGGTGTTCTGTTTCGCTTGCCATTGCGATTATAGTTCTCGTTCATATAAGAGATTTGACGAGCAGCGAGGGTCGGCATCAATACATGGAAAACATATTTCCACTCTACAGGTGGTTTTAACGAAAAGAAGATAACGTTTTTTTTCCGAGATTTTTTTCTTGATGTTATGGATTTTTCAGCTTGTTCGGGTTGGTTGCGCTGCATTTGCTAATGTATGCGGCGGATGTATACTTCTGGAGCAAGTGTCGGGTGAATTATCGGTTCATCTTCGGGTTTGAGCAGGGAACTGAACTTGGCTGCAGAGAAGTGCTTCTGATAGGTTCTGGACTCGCCGTTCTGATGTTTCTCGGTGTAGTATCGAATCTCGACATGGAAATGGACCCGAGAACGAAGAGTTTTAGCGTCATTACCGAACTCGTTCCTTTAGCCCTTCTCGTCGTAAGTTTCCTCAAGAACTGGCTAATACCTCTCTGTGCATAATCATATACAACAGCATACAAACGTGTATATATCCGAATAATTGCCGTGATTCGACGTGAAAATCGGTTGATCGTATCGTTTTTGCGTATGATCTTCTTCTTTGCAGATTTTGACGGTGATCTTGTTCTGTCCATTCAATGTAATATATCGCTCGAGTCGGTATTTTTTCATCAGATGCATCTTCCATTGCCTTTTAAGTCCTCTTTACAAGGTATTATTCTCTTCTTTATAAAGGCACATTGTCGATTTTCGGATTATTTGAATCTGAATCCAAACGTTTTGGGTCTCAGAAATATTATACGATCTCGTATTCGTTTTGATCATATCGGATGCATAATATATACATATATATGTATGTATAGCGGTTAAATCCAAACAAACGAGAACTAGCAAAAGCGTTTCTGAAGAAGTTTCTGTGAATCTGCAGGTTGTTCTACCAGACTTTTTCCTTGCAGATCAGCTGACGAGCCAGGTGATGAATGAATCTTGCAACAACACCGAGACGGTTTAGCAGTCGGTTATCGTTCGGTTTTCTTCATGAATGTTTTGGTTTGGTTCGGTGCGGTTTTCGCAGGTCCAAGCTTTCAGAAGCTTACTGTTCTACATATGCTACTACGGATGGGGAGATTTCAAGAGAAGATCAAACAAATGCTATGAGAGCGATGTCTACCGCAAATTTTACATCATCGTCGCCGTCATCCCGTACTGGTTCCGTTTCGCCCAGGTTAACCGAAAAATAAAACTCGGACTTTGAACTCTTTCGCGTATTTTCCGACGAAAACGCTAATTTTGTTACACGTTGTCAGTGCATAAGGAGATTGGTGGAGGAGAAGAACAAGAATCACGGGCTAAACGCGATGAAATATCTGTCGACGATAATAGCGGTGGCGTCGAGGACGGTGTTCCAGTGGAGGAAAGGGACGTATTGGTTGACGGTAGCGGCCACAACGTCGAGCATAGCGACTGTTTTCAACACGGTCTGGGACCTCGTCCACGACTGGGGACTCATGAACCGTAACTCCAAGAACCCCTGGCTACGTGACAAACTCCTCGTTCCCTACAAGAGCATCTACTTCATTGCCATGGTATATGTCATTATTTATTAGTCTGATTTTATTTTATTTTAAAAAAAAATCTCTTTTCTTTTACCGGGTTTTGAAAGTATGGCCATTTCAAGTTTCTGTTATGGTTCAGTTCGGTTATGCTCGAATTCATTTCGATTATATAGAAGTTTAGTTATTTCGATTTAGAAAAACTATAACCATATAGTTTTTATGTTTTGTATATTCGATTTTGTTTTGGTTTCTTCAATTTTAGAGAATTATAACCATTAAATTTTTATATCAAATTCTGTTAGTTTTCGTTTTTTATTGACAAAATTATTTTTAAAAAAAAATTATTTTTTCATTACTATTTTTTATTTGATTTAGGTTCAGTTTTGATTTTTTTTGGATTTAGAGAAATCACGACCATTCAATTTTATATAAAAGATTGGTTTAGATTTCATATTTTATGGATAAAAATTATGACACTTTCAAAGAATTTTCGGGTTTTCCATTATTTTTTATTATGTTTAGGTTCCGTTTTGGTTTATTCGGTTTTAAAAAAGTCGTCGAATTCGGTACGAATCGGTTAAGTAATCCGGTTATTAAGGAAGTGGTGTTGGTTTGATGGGAGGTGGTGAACGTGATGCTGAGACTGGCGTGGATGCAGACAGTGTTGGGTATAAGAGAAGCTCCTTTCTTGCACCGAAGGGCCTTGCTCACTGTCGTCGCCAGTCTCGAGATCCTTCGCCGTGGCATTTGGAACTTCTTCAGGTAATATATATACACGCATATGTATATACGTATGTATAGATTTTCGGACAAGATGATTGAGATGACGTGGATGGATGAGACAGGTTGGAGAACGAGCATCTGAACAACGTGGGGAAATACAGGGCCTTCAAGAACGTGCCTTTGCCCTTTCACCGCCAAGAACTCGGTGGAGGAACCAAGAATGTCTAAAACTTTTTATTAAAAAAAAAATAGATTTTTTATTTTTTATTTTATTTTTTTGATTCAGAAAGTGGATTAAGGGGTGAATAAGTATCATAACAGGACTATTATATGGTCTTGGTTTGTTGCTCTTACAGTATTATCACATTTGATTCTATGATTATGCTTCTCTTTCAAAATAAATATATGATATTTTTTTATATAAAATAATACGATAAAAATTTTCATATATTCACTCAGTGAATCAAATCAATATTACTCTAACAATAATATCTATTTTTTTTCTCTAATAATAATAGATCTTTTGATGTTTTGCATAAAGAAAATTAAAATTTTGAAAAACAAACCTGAAGAAAAAATTCAAAAAAAAAAAAGGAGGAGAAAAAGGCGTAGAGGTAAGGAGGCCCATAATTAGGGTTTAAGCCCAAACATTATTTATATATGTAAACACACACACACAAGTATACGTATCGAAGCCCTCATTTTCTTCTGTGGAAACCTATTCACTCTTTCTCTCGCCGTCGCTGCTTCTTCTGGGTCTTGCTGTTTTCTTTTCTTTTTTTCCACATTATTTTCTGGTCTTCTTCTGTTGGTTTTTTTTGGAAGAATCTTGGAAGGGTATGTATGTGTATATATATATATATATATATATATATAGTGTGTGTGTGAGTGTGAATACATATTGCACAGGTACTGGGACAGCCCCGTGAGAAATAAGAACTGGGGATTTTGTCTAATTGAAAAATAAAGTGCAGAAATCAAAATCAGGGATCCGCTTTGCAGCTTATAACCCGACCCGGTTTCACAACTGGGTTCCCATGTTTCTGCTGCCAGTATTCCCCTCAAATTCTCTTATCCCACAAATCTCTCTTTTTTTTTTGTTTATTAATCGATAAGAGCTGGGCTTCAGTATGTACAGTGTTCCATTAATAGGTTTTTGTCTAGATCTTTGAGGAGCTGCTGAAATGAGAATCTGAGTTCTGGTAAAATCAATCAAACATTAAGAAACTGGATTATGGTTTGGTTTTTCTGCTTTACAAATGTTTCAAGTAGATTTCTTGTTTATTTACAAGCATGAACTCTTAAAAATGGAATTGGACTTTTGCCAAAATGAGGAAATGGTAATGAGATCTAATTGGGTATGATCCAATTCTGACATGTTACATGCCTGAATTCACTAATCTTAAGGACCATATATATATTATAAAGTTTTGGTTCTAACTTTGGCCACAACCCTCTGTGAAAGTTGCAAGAAATCTGCCATGGAGATGAAGCAAATTGCCACTGACAACTGGAAAACACCAGACTAGTGAGCCAATGACTTCTTTAAATCAAACCCTTCATGTTCAAGGGGGTGGTTATAACAGATCTTAAGTTTGCCGGAAAAAATGACAATACAGGAGATTGTTTGGACGAACAATCAGAGCCCAAAAGAAAAGGGAAGATCTCCATGGCATGGCTCTCTTCAAAACATGTGGGACGAGTTTGCTCTGCTAACCTTCTCAGTGATGAATCTTGGCTTTGGCCTTCTTTTGCGAGTTTGCTTTTATCTGTTCAATCAACCGATGATGATTTTTTTTATTGGTTAGCGTCAAAATGTTATCAGGACAAACACAATGTTCTATATGCATCAATCTACCATAACATGCACACAACTGATTATTAGATCATCAAACTCAGTTCAACAATAAGGAAACCTGTACTGTATCATACATAAATGAAATGCAATGATAAACATTAAAAAAAAAAAAGAAGAAGGGTTCAACATGATGAACATACAGATACAGAAAAACCCATCAAACACCTAAGTAGGAACAAAGGAAAGGTTGTCTGATATACAAGCTCTAGACTGCAGTGAACAAAAACCACAGTGAAAGACAGGAAAAAAATGAAAAGAGAAGATGTGAGAAGGGAAGAAAATGATAAGAAGAAGAGGCATTGATAGTAGAAGATGAACTAGAATGCATTTAGAGCCACTAGAACATTTCGAAAACTCTCCCCATTTTTTTTACCTGACCAAGCACACGAGGAACATAGATAAAAAACGCCAACTTGTCTTATCCCTTCTACACGCTACCCTCCATCTCCCCCGACCTCCACAGATAAGAACTCATCTTCAAATGGAACTCAACAACGCAGGAAAGTAACACAGCATTCAGAGGATTCATACGGGATTCAAGGGCCGCACTTGATAAGGACATGTAAAGAGGAGTTAACACCATACCACCTATGAATTGATCAGTAAGATTCTAATCGCAAATATCAAAATTCAATAAATAAGTGTTTCCGAAGATCTAATTTTGCAGCTGAATCAAATCCAAAAAAAAATAATTTACCAGAAACTACACCACTGGAATCAGGCATTGACTGACGATAACCGATGGACCCAACACAGTCATCGAGAAATTTACCTTGAGAATCTTGAGCTTCGTGTTCCCGTAGAGCATTCCCAAAGTGAACGCCGACACACGACCGACCTAATCGAAGATCAGCAGCAATGGAACCATCTTAAGCAACGACGACGACGCTAATCGAAGAAAAATTTGGGAATCAAAGAGTGAAAATCGAAGAAACGTTTTACCAGAGCCAGGCTGCTGGCGCCGGAGTAAAATCCAATCGGTGACGCCATTGGATTCGCTTTCTGACCTCCGATTTCTTCTGCTTAAACCCTAACCCTAGATCAGAGAGAAATCCGATTTTCGTGCTACCTTAAGATCTCTAATATCATCAATTGATTTGTTAATCGTCTCCTAAATTTTCCGTAGAAGATGTCTTTATTTTTATTTTTTCATTTTAATTTTATACAGAGCCAATAAACGGCGTCGTTCTGTGAGATCGAACCATCCCGCCAGTACCGAACCAATACCGTACCACATTTTTGGTTTAGATCGGTTTCAAATAACATCTCTTGATAAGCGTGTAATACCGATCATTTTCGTGATATTATTTATTTTATTTCATCATATTATATCTAAAATATGATATAATATGAGTAAAAATAAAATAAATAATACAAATGGATAGACTTGTACATATCGAATCTGGTTTTAGTTTGGTTCAATTGATTTTGTCTATTGGTCCAGTTCATAATTATTGAGCCGAATCCGGTACACATCGACGTCAACATCCTGGTTTACGTGGCGAGTTCTGAAGTTTTCTCTTTCTTTCTTTCTTTCTTTTTTGTTTTTGAATTTTCCCGATCGCAAGATCGAATTTTTTAAAAGTTACTTGTCGATCATGAGTTGGTTATCCTTGTGATTTTTTTTTCTCGGGAAACAAACAGAAACAGAGAGAAAGATAGCTTTTTGATGTGTTTTATCACTTGAGAATTCGGATTCTGATTGTTCTGTTCATCTGCCGACAATGGGAGCTTCTTCTTCGACGGATAACAAGGCATCGGCGGAGAAGCGAGAGGTCGAAAACCTAGCAGCTTCTACGGGAGCTCTTCCTTTGCTTCAACGATCGTTCTCAAATCTCGTGGATTCTGAGACGAACGTTGTTTCTCTCCAGTCCTTGAGGGTAATTCGATCGAATTCGATGGGATTTGAAGTTCATTTGCTTTTATTTGACTTTATCCCCTCTCGACATTGCTTATAATCGTGTGATGTTTCTTTTGCTGTTCTTCAGCATCTTGATTGAATTTCATAGAAAATGATTATCGTCGCTTCTGTTCATCTGGTTTGATAGTTCTTTCTGGTGTTTGGGGAAAGGGGTTTGCAGTTTCAGCGACTCTACTGGCAAAATATTTCTTCGTTCTAGGATCCGAATACGATCATCGGAATCAGGAATACTGGACTCTAAATTCTAAATAAAGGTGTAACTAAGCTTTGAGGACTCTAAATTCCATATATTGCTCTCGATAGTTTCATGGTTGTAGTTGAAGATCTCTGTAGCTATATGACGCATTTTGTGATCTCCCGGTTTCTTCTGATATGCTAACGTAGTTCTGCTTGCAGCAATGCTTCTCTTTGAGCTACAATGCAACTATATCTGAAGGACAAACCGTACCAGATTCATTTCCGAGATTGTTGGAACATCTTGGCTCATCTGTGGTAGATTTATTCTTTGTACCCGAGAAAGGAGGATTGAGTTGGGTCGATTTTGTCAGAGGTTATGTCAAATGTTGTGGCAGAATGTCGGCTTCGATGTCATTCAATACATTGTTGAGAGTTTATCTTGCGACCGCAAGAGAGGCTGGTCTTTCTCTGAAACTGGATTTCGAATCAGATGAAGCTGATTGTAAAATAAATGGATCCCTTTTGCCAGTCGATGTACTCACGCTTCTCTGGATGTGTTGGACTATGTCATGGGATGGTCGGACCAAATCATCTGAAGGAAAAGGTTGTCTATTTCTTCCGGATATAAGTCACCTGATACTATCCGCAGTTGTATCATGTGCCGACTCTGAAAATAATTTGAATGTGTGGGATGCCGATGCCTGTGGATTAGAAGTTGAACTTCCTGTCGGGAAATTTCTTACGTGGGCCTTGACAACGGTTCCAACCCTCACTGAGAGTCTTGCACTGTTTGTCAATGCCAGACTTCACAATTCTTCCAGTGTGGAGGTAGGTATTCTCTTTTAGAAATGTAATGCTTTTGGAATTTTTCTATAGGTGTTCTAACTTGGTTTACGTCTGGTTCTCTTTTTCCTTAGTATCATTATCTGAAAACCCGTTTTCAGTCGATAAGAAAACCGAAGCTTGTTAACTTTTAGTTTGGCAAATTGCAGGATAGATCCGAACCTTCAAATTCAACAGCTGCTGATGATTCTGAGACCAAGGTACATGAAAGCACCCTTCTGACACGTGGGAGGGCGTGGGCGATTTCCTTGACATGCAGAAATGCCATAAGCGAGGAGATCTTAGGACTATGCTTCCCTTGCAACAGCCATGAAACAATTGAAAACATTCTATATCGGTATGTCAACAGCTGTTGTTTGGCTTCTCTGCCATAGCTACACTAAATCCATACTTCGTCTCAGTCATTTTGGTGTCTAAACCTTAGCTAACAGTAGCAATATCTCATATAACTCGGTGATTTGTTTATTTTTTTTCTCATTCCGATTCTAGTGTTCTTAGTTTATATTCATCTCTCTTTCAGCTCATCCCATCATGGGAAAGGCTTGAACAGATTTTGGTCCAACATTGAAGGGTATCATGCTCCGCTGCTAATTATAGTTTCTGCAAGCTGTGGAGACAGCCACGAGGGTAGTTCAAGCGAGAGGAAGTGGATTATCGGTGCAATCTTGCAGCAAGGTTTTGAGAACAGGGATACATTTTATGGAAGCTCTGGAAACTTGTTTGCCATAAGTCCAGTCTTTCACGCTTTCTCGTCTTCTGGTAACGTTCAGAATTGAAAAATTTTCTCCTCCAAAAGCAGTTGAAGCTTCTTGAAACCGATGGTTTTTATTATGTTTATCTTCAGGCAAGGAGAAAAACTTTGTGTATAGCCATCTGCATCCCACTGGAAGATACGAGCCACACCCTAGGCCTGTCGGGATTGGCTTCGGGGGAACCATAGGGAACGAGAGGATTTTCCTCGACGAAGATTTCGCTAAAATCACCATCCGTCATCATGCGGCTGACAAAACATACCAGCCGGGCTCTCTTATACCAAACCAGGTAAAACATTTTCAAATTCCACCCTTCACGCTATTAGTAATTTTAGTATTGAGACTAAAAATGGTACAATTAGGTAATTAGACATGGAAATCAATCCTTCTTTTTGTGATGCAATTCATCCAAAAAGATGTACCCTTTATACTGCAGGGGTTTCTCCCCGTTGAGGCAACAATCACAGAAGTTGAAGCTTGGGGATTAGGTGGGAAAAGGGCAAAAGAAATCCAGGGTTCATACAAGAAAAGAGAAGAGCTTTTCACTGAGCAACGCCGAAAGGTAGTTAAAACCCCCCGAAAGGATCGATGCAAATGCTTTTTTCATCACATTCATGTTAAAGATACTTAAAAGATTGACGAAATTCTCGGTAACCCTTTTTTCCCGCAGGTCGATCTGAAGACGTTCGCGAGCTGGGAGGACTCGCCCGAGAAAATGATGATGGACATGATGTCCGATCCCAATGGTGTAAGAAGGGAAGAAAGGTAATGTAATGAAGAGAGGTTTGTTACTATGTGAGCAAAGAGATTTGTTATCATGTTAAAAGGTGTTAAATGATGCTTGTGTGTGATTACTATGTATGCTGTTACTGCTGAATCTTGGACCCAGGCGGTGGATGTGTCCATGGGATTATATATATTTTATTGAATTTTATAAATCATGGATCTTGGTTATCCAAGAATTAAATGTCGCCATCAATTCGTTACTTGTAACTTGTATATTTGTTGAAGGTGAAATTCTTTTACCACAATAGATCATCTCCAAATCCTTTTACCTTCTGATTCATTTATTTACATGAAAATTCTATGATTTTTCCATTAGTTGAAAATTCATATTTTCTTTGCTTGAATACATGATTCTTTAATTTTGCATTATTTCCAATGTATGTATGTATGTATGTATGTATGTATGTATGTATGTATGTATGTATGTATGTATGTATGTATGTATGTATGTATGTATGTATGTATGTATGTATGTATGTATGTATGTATGTATGTATGTATGTATGTATGTATGTATGTATGTATGTATGCGTGTATGTGTGTGTATGTATGTATGTAGGTATGTTAGGCTGATGTTGAGGCCTCGTAAACAGCAAAACAAAGACAAGTGGATTACCCTTGCTCCGTCAACCACGTGGCCGGCCCCTTAGGGATGACGTGGCACGAACGGACAAACCAGCTACGAGGAAAACTAAGCCGGCATGGGCCCACATGACGATGACGTCACCATATCCCCACGTCATCGGAATCCCGAAATCCGAATATTCCCTCTCCATAGAATCACGAACCAATTGCACTGTTCGGGTCGACATATAATTGTCGAATGACGATTCCGATAACCAAAAGAAAATAAATTAAATATATAAAAAAGGCCAAAACATTATTATGTGTTTATTAGGACTGGACATTTAAACCCGTTAACCACGGATAAACGGATACTCGGTCTCGTGGGTATCCGAAAAACGGGTACTCGGTACATAACGAAGACGAAAACGAGTATTAAAAACTAGAATACCCGTCATACGGGTTCGAGTTCAAATTTTATATATAAAAATAACGGGTATCCACGGATACACTATTCATATCTATAACCGATCATTTCGTAGCGTTTCTAATCATCCCTTTTTCCTTATTTATTATTTATGATCCAAATTAAAACACGGATGGGACCGCAGGTGCCACGTGCCGCAAGGACGAAAGGACAAGAGATGTGGGCCCCACATAATCCTAAACGCCAACGAATCCGACGTCGTATCGTGGAGACCTTTTGTCGGCATTCACATTGAAGCAGCCGCAGAAGAAGAATCTTCCAATGGCTTCAGAATCTCATCCTTATCTATTTTCCTCTTTTGTAAAAATATTAACAAGTTGTTCTGATTTTTTTTTTGGCCTATTTAGTAGAGATTAAATGGATTGGATTGTGGATCAGATTATTTGAGATAAGGTTGGTTTATATTTAAAATTCTAATAAAAAAAGGGGCTGGCTTGGATATATTCAAGATTATTGACATATTTTTTTTTATTAATCTAGGGATTTTAAAGAAGATGAATACGTTATTCAGAATATTTTTGTGTTGAGTGGAAAAAGGTAAATTTTATTTATTGATTTATTTTTATTATTGTTGTTGGTTAATACAGGTATTTATTATTTTTATTAACATGTAGGTTAAAATACGATATATATATATATATATTATACGGCTGTCAATACAAAAATACACAAATGGAATTTGATAAGTTGATGAAAGTTATAAAGTTTAAGATTTTATTTGATTTCCTTATTAGTTGTTTATAATTTATTTGTTATGACTAGACAATTTAATTATTTGTACTTCGGTATATTTGATTTGAACAAATTTGTCACTACTTAATTATCTTGCTCGTGAATTGAGCGAGTTAAGCTATCGTTTGCTATTATAGTTTGTTGGTCTAAACTAAAAGCAATGAAATCGTAGTGTCGAATGATGGTTTTGGTACGAGCCATCCCATTTTACACACTTTATTATTTAAATAAGGATAATCATCATCTTGGTTCAATTTTATGAAATTGTGTCGAATAAGATGATATTATATTTAAATCGAATTTTAACAAAAGAATTTTATGTTTTAAAATAAAATTAAACAAATTTTAATGAAAACAAAAATATATTTTAGAATAATTTTTTTTTATGAAATTTGAACTAGAATGAATATATTGATAAATTTTTCAAAATCCATAAATCCAGTCCAAAACTAATAAATCCGAAATCCATTTGAAATATGAACAATAGAGTTTTAATCTAGACTTACTAAACATACTTATTTTTTAAAAAAATATGTAAAAATAATGATGAGATATATAAAATGGTGTTATAAGTTAATAATTTATTCTTTAAATAGATATCTTCTTGTAGTCGAGAAGCCTCCGAAATGGACAACATCATCTACTTTTAACACTGAAAGGATAAATCTGTGAAAGACACTGCATATGGCTCTTGAAACCATTTGACGTTTTCATTTCCAAAATCAAAAACAAAAATTTTATATATTAGATAATTTCTTAATTAAAATACTTCAATTGTTTATTATATTGGCTTGAAGGGGTCTTTCTCAATGATGGCAATTTGTATCCTTCTTTTTCAATCAGGTTTTGGGTTCATGGAGATATATATTCTGACCACATTACATGTATCTTAGATAAGAAAATGGACTTGTCCTAATTTTCCATCCATTCCTTGTTCATTTTCATTTATATGGATCTAGTATTTTTCCATTTATACACAAATATACGACAAATGCTTTGTAAAAAGGTTCAATATTTCACAAAGTGTTTTAACAATTGATGTATACTGATAAATCTAAGATTGAATGACTCAATTGATAATAAAGAGAGCAAAATTCCTTCTCAATCTAGATTCAAATCTCTATTTGGAGAGAAACATCCATTTGGATTTCTACGGTAGTCTAAAAGATTCGATAAATTTTTGGATTATCAAAAAAATAGAGGGAGAGAATAATGACTATTTATCCATAGTTGGAGATCAAAAATTTGTTAAAGAAAATAATGGCCAAAGCTAACATTGAACAATATGATATGATATATAATTTTTATTTTTTTATATTTTTAGTGAAATGACTAACATGTTCTGTTTGACATAGGAGCACTTGCAACAGATGTCCTTAACTCATAAACTCTAGGTTGGTGGCCTAACATATGACAGACACTTAGGTCATCAAAGGATAATATATATATATATATATATATATATATATATATATATATATATATATATATATATATATATATACTAATCTATAAA